GGGGAGGAAGAGAGGGAGGGAGGGCTGCCCGAGCGTATATCGGACCTGCTCGGTAGATTGTCTCGAAAATGGAATATCTTGCCGGCAGCGATCAGAGGACAATGAAGGGGAACGCGACGAGATAATAAACTGGGACCGAACGTTGTGTATAGGGCTAGACGAGATTATCCAGTTCCACCGAGGCGGCAAACCAGCGGCAACCCATTAAGCTGCATGTACGAGTACAGATCACTGCCGGAGGGCAGCAGTGAAAAACAGAGTGGTAACAGCATCATTACAACGTGTGCCCGTCCCCCGTGACGCGCAATACGGCAGCGATATGGCGCAGGTGGAGATCCAGGAGAAGAGGGGGTAGGGGATGGAGACTGTCATAGGCCGACGTCGAAGGCTAGGTAGGGGTTCCTCTATCCAATACTAGTCCGGATGCTTGGGCTGGAAGCAGCCGCGATGGGTGACGCTACTCTGCACAGCAAACGGCACAGCCTACTGCTGGTCGGTAGTCGTATCACTCCTCAGTCTCCCTACAGATAATACATGGTAATGCTAGGAGCATATTGATCTGTACAGATGTGTGTAATCTGTAATCTGTGCCGAGGGGATGCAGACGTGCCAGACGTGCCAGAAGTCCACACGCTCGTCACGTCCCGTCTGATGGGATCGTTGTGGGGAGAAATATGGGACTCTAGAACATCCGGTCGCCCAGACCTTCCCCTCTGCTCTCATCCCGAGGGGAGGTGATGGGATACCCTAGAGTCGATCCTCGACGTCCTGGTGAAGGAGGGGCAGGTCTCAACTCTAGTCCTTCCCGAGATTTCATGTTCCTCAGCAACTCTCTCCCCCCCCCCCCCCCCCCCCCCCCCCCCCCCCCCCCCCCCCCCCCCCAGCACTGTTCAGTCGGCGCCGACGCTGGAGACTGGTACATGTATATGGAAGGAGTCACCGAGATGAGAGAATATTGACGAGAGCCAGTTCCCGCAGCTCTGCTCTGCTTCGCGCGCTTGTCTGAGTACATCTCTACCGCAGATTACAGGTGGCAGATTACATAGCATTACCGTTAGTCCTCCTACGAGCCGCAACCATGGGAGGTCGAGGCAATATACATTTCTTTGCGGTCTCGTCTGTTTCTCGAGTTTCCGAGAGTCTCTTGTCAAGGTGCACAGTATCGTCATTGATCTCGTCCGTACCATAATATTGCCGGGCAATTCCTCTCATCAACCCTCATCGAGCCGGCAAGATGGACGCAGGCAGCAACGGCAGCAACGGCAGCAACGGCAACAGCACCACCCCACAGCTGCCCTCCAACTCCACGCTAGACAAGATCGATCATCTGGTGCCGTCTGCGTATCGACTGTCCATCTACGATGTCCGGTTTGCTCCTGATTGGAACTTTAGAGGGACCGTCGCCATCGATGGCCAGGTGACCCGACCCATCTCCGAAATCTGCCTCCACGCCGTTGGCATCCGTGTGTCCCGGGTAGAGCTCTCGGGTGACTCCGGCGATGCCATAAGTACGTTGTTTCCATCTGCCAGACTTTCTGCTTCTCCTCTTCCGGGTACATCGTGAGAGCTCACAGGCCATCTCTCCAGATCTGAGCGGCGCCGCCACCGTCTCGGACGGACTCTTGCGTATCAGGCTTGCCGACCAGCTGGCACCTGGAAATGTCACCCTCACCATCGGCTATCAAGCATCCATAGGGGACTCCATGTCGGGATTCTACCGTGCCAGGTATCGGTCGCCGCCTCCCACCCCCAACGCGATCCGCGACGGCGACGACTCGGTCGTCCTCTCCACGCACTTCGAGCCGTGCTATGCGAGGGAGACCTTCCCCTGCTTCGACCAGCCCCACCTCAAAGCGACGTTTGACATCGACGTCGAGGCCCCCGACGGGCTTACCGTCCTCAGCAACATGCCGGCAAGGGACGAGGTGCGGCTGGATGGCGTCAAGAGCGGCCTCAAGAGGGTCACGTTCGAAAGGACGCCGGTGATGAGCACCTACGTGAGTTCTCCCCTCTCCCCTTCTCCCGCCCCTGGACCGCGGGCGGCAGAGGCTGATGTGGAACGTCCGACATGCAGCTGCTGGTATGGGCCATGGCCGACTTGGAATACATCGAGGGCTCGACCCGGGAGACGCACCGCGGCTCCAGAGTTCCCGTTCGCGTCTACACCCCTCCCGGACTGGCCCGGTATGCCGACTTTGCGTTGGACTGCGCGAGCAGGGTCATCGACCTCTACCGAGATCTCTTCTCCATCGACTACCCCGTCTCCAAGAGCGACCACCTGATCGTGCCCGAGTTTGTGTCCGGTGCCATGGAGAACTGGGGCTTGATCACGTACAAGCCCACCAAGATCTTGTTTGACCCGGCCACCTCCAACAACCGGGTCAGGTCCAAGGCGGCTTACGTGGTGGCCCACGAGCTGGCCCACCAGTGGTTCGGAAACCTCGTCACCATGTACAGCTGGACGGAACTCTGGCTCAACGAAGGATTTGCCACCTGGGCCGGCTACACGGCTGTCGACCATCTGTACCCCGGTAAGACTTGAGAAGCTCCAGGGTCGAGCCCACAGTGCTAGTGCGTGTGCTGACGGGATCGGTGATCCAGAGATGGACATCTGGTCGCAGTATGTGGTACGTGCTCGCTCCCTCACCCCCATCGACGGAACATCACCTGCTGACCGAGATCAGGCCGAGATCATGGACGACGTCATGAAGCTAGACAGCCTCCCTACGACGCATGCTATCGTCGCCGAGGTGGAGGACGAGAATGCGGCCCTCCAGATGTTTGACCAGATCAGCTACTTCAAGGCCGGCTCCGTGCTCCGCATGTTGTCGGACCACATCGGCCCGGACGCCTTCTTCAGAGGCCTCACGGATTACCTGAACAGGCACGCCTACCGGAACGCCACGTCCGAAGACCTCTGGGATGCGCTGAGCCTCGTATCGGGCGTCGATGTTTCAAAGCTGATGGACACGTGGATACATACGCCCTCCTTCCCGATCGTCTGCCTCGACCCTCACGACCGGTCCCGTGTCGTCCAGAGATCTATCCTCCCGGCCGGCGAGGACGACGCGCCCAGCGTCTGGGATGTACCCGTCAAGCTCCTCACTGATCAGGGCAAGGGCCTGGCCGTGAACACGGCCCACGTCGGCTACTTCTGCATCGATTACGACGTGGCCTCGCTGAGCAAGGCCATCAGCGGGCCCACGGGGGCGACGTCGACCGACATTGTCGGTATCATCTGCGATCTGGGTACCCTGGCTCTCAATTCGTCGAAGCCGACGAGCGACCTCCTAGAATTCATCTGGGCTCTGAAGGGCTCGGACGACGGATCCGTATGGCTCGCCATCAGCCGCTCTCTCTTCTTCATCCGCTCCATATTCGCAGACGACGACGCCATCCAGAAGGACCTCAAGATCTTCACGGCACACCTCATCCACGACGTACGCAGCAAGCTGGTGTGGGGAAAGAAGGAGATGGGATATACCGAAGCAGAACTCTTCAAGACCATCATCGGCCTGGGATTCGTCGCGGACGACGAGACCATCGTCAAGGAGACGAGAAGCAGCTTCGACAGGTGGGCAGCCGGGGACGCCTCCTCCATCGTCCCCAGCCTGAGAGGCGCCGTCCTCTCCTCCTGCGTCAGCACCGGGACGGCAGAAGACTTCGAAGCCGTCCAGAAGGCGTTCGAGGCCGACCCGTCCCTCGACGGCCAGGAGATCATCCTCAGCGCCATGGGTTCGGTTGGCGACGCCGGCCTCGCCATCAGGGTCCTCGACTACGCGTTCGCGAGCGACCGCAACGTATCCCTGCAGCACGTGCCCCTGCTCGGCATCGTCATGGGTCAGAACATCCGCTGCAGGGGCATACAGTGGGACTACGTCAAGCGCAACTGGAGCAGCTTCAAGGACCGTCTCGGCAGGAACTCTACCTGCCGCGACTGGTGGATCGAGGAGGCCCTGAGGCACTTCTCCGACATCCACCTAGCCGATGAGGCTGAGGCCTTCTTCGACGTTCACTTCGGCGCCAGCACGAAGAAGCAGGTCGAGTACATCAGGGCTAGCATCGTCAGGAACGCGGCATACAAGGAGTTTGCCCGGGAAGATGTCTCCAGGTGGCTCAAGTCTCGGCAATACTAGGAAATGCGTGCTGCACACACACACACACGCACACACACACACACACACACATATATATACATTCACGTTGGGACGGAATGAGCGTCTTGACGACATCAAGGTACAACACGTATCATCGATCCTCTAGAGTGTTTGAGACGTTTCTGTATTGGCAAGTTGATGGCATGGTTCTGGAAAACCACGTGTCAGTCTGGTATATGTTGAGAAGCTACATGTGTATAAGTAAGTGTGTATTGTATATATTCGTGATCAGACACCTTCATCTGCCGGCCTGTCCGTCGTCACGGTGTTGACGCCCTTGTCGTTCATGTCACTGTTCTCGGAGGGGGAAGGCCAATCGTCGTGCTGGATCAGGCGATCCACGTCGGGAGCGACGGGCCAGATGAGGTTGAATGTATAAGCGAAGAAGGCGGCTGCTCAAGTCAGTCAGGAACAGCTTCCTTCTCGGGAGGGAGAGATGGAGGCGTAAGGGATGAGCGTGCGCGTGCTTACCGAGTGTGAAACCGAGGAGGAAAGATATGGAGAAGACGTGAGAGGCGCTCTTATGCAGGTGAACGTCGGTGTTGATGGAGGCGACGAAGCCAGGCATACTGGGGACGACGGCGAGGACCCAGGCCACGACCGTCTGCCAGTTGACGCCCATCTTGTACCAGTAGACCGACTTGGGGTTGCCGATGTACAGGTCCGAGATGATGAAGGTGCGCTTCTGGATGACCCAGAAGTGGATGCAGAGGAGACCGATCATGGGACCGAGGAAGACGGCATAGGCGCTCAGGACGGCCAGGAAGCTGTGATGCGGTGTGAATGGTCAGATCCGATCCCATCTCCTTCCAGAGCATGACCGGGGGGGGGGGGGGGGCAGGACGGAGGAAGTGTGGGACTCACGTTGTGCTGGAAGACAGCTGCTGCCATGGGTTGGGCAGCACAGAGAGGGCGGCCAGGACATAGGCACCCCGACGGAGGTTGATGTACTTGGGGAAGACGCTGGCGACGTCGAGACCTCCGGCGAGGACGTTGCCGACGACGTTGATGGACAGCTGGGAGAAGATGAAGACGACGCCGAGGAAGAAGGCGGCGGCCCGGCCGCGAGACCCGTGGCGATCCTGGATCTGAGCGAATAGTGTTGTGGGGTCCCAGAGGGCCGTCCCGTCTCCGTACCCTGGTATGGTGCATTAGTATGTTTTAATTAATTTTTAATAATATTTTTTAATAATATTTTTAATAATATTTTTTTACAAAAAATATTAAAAAAAACTATTTTTCTTGGGTTTTTTTTTCCAGAGCAAGAGGGAAAAAAAAGGGCGGTGGGGCGTTGCGTTTCAACTTACTCTTCTGCGTGGCGGCCGTGACGAGGACGCCGACGATGGAGACGGTAGAACCGCTTACCATGAAGGATCCGGCCTGAGACCAGGTGACGTGGCTCGGCTTCTTAGCAAAACGAGTGTAGTCGCTCTGGTTGAGGATGCCGGACGCGATGTTACCGATGATGGACATCATGCCGGCAACCATGTTCCAACCGAGCTCGCTGCTGGACGAGACGGACGTCTTTTCGGAGAGAACGTCTCCCCACGAGTCGCTGGTCCCGACGGCCCATCCCAGGAGGATGAACAGGGTGAGGAAGACGAGGACGGAGGCGAAGTGGAAGTAAGGGCGGAGCTGCTGCGGGCGGAACCAGATGAAGATGCAGCACAGGACGTTGAAGATGATGTATCCCAGGAACTGGGCCGTCGTGATGCCGATGTCGGTCGGCAGCGTGTTGGGGATACGGTCATCCAGGTCGATCCAGATGGACCGGAGGCAGATGTAGATCATGCGGCCGCCGATGACGGCCTGTACGCCATACCAGACAACAGAGGTCAGGATGCGGTTGAGGATGGGGAAATACGCCCCGTACATTCCTGCGCGCGCGAGGCTGATGGTTAGCAGGTGCAGGCAGCAGAGACGGCAACCGAGCCGAGATGATTTCATGTCCTCTCCCTCTCCTTACCCCAGACGCTACGGGAGATGACGGGGAACCCGAGGTGGCTCGACGCGCCGGCGACGCTGTTGAGGACCGCGAATCCGGTAGCCAGCAGGTTGCCGATGAGGATGACGATGATGGCCTGCCAGAAGTTGAGGCCCGTGGCGAGCAGCGAGGAGCCGACCTGGTAGCTGCTCATGTTGAGGTTGACGCAGAACCACAGCTCGACATACTGGATGGGACCTAGATGACGCGCAGCATCATGTCAGTCAGTAGATTGGTCTGTGAGGCATCGCAGAAGGCTTCCCCTCTTCCTCTCTGCTGCTTCTCTTCTTCTTGGAGGAGGGGAGCATCATACCCCAAGTCTGGCGCTGCGGAGGCACAGGGCGGATATCTTCATTGATCCAACGGTCGGCTTCCTCCTCCTGGGGAAGCTCAATCTTCCTCAGGAGCTTTACCAGAATAGGGGGGGCCATCTTTCACGGTCCTCTCTTCTCTCTCGACCGGCCTGTCTTGTCGCCCTCGGGAAGGAGGTAGGGATTGTGCTGAACAGCTAACTGTACGACACCTGTCGCAGCGTGAGGAAGAAGAGCACGGGTAGACAAGATTGTCGTCGGATTGAAACGCGTCGACGGAGATGCGACTGCCGTCCCGCTCCCCCCTCGAATGGGGCGGGATGGAACAGAGGCGTGGTACTTAACCAAAATCTTTAACGATTCCAGGGAACCGGGGTGCGATGCAAGTACAATCATGCAATGGCCACCCCAGTCACGGGTCGATAGAAGAGGTCAGTCTTGACTCTTGACTCTCGACGGCGGAGGGACCCGCGAGAGGCTTGACCAGGCTTGGGGTTAAACGACGGGCGCTATCACGGGGAACAGGGGGGAGGCTTGCCGCTCCGACGACATCATTGGACCTGACTGTCCAGGACGAATAGCGCCGAGAGTCGAATCAGATGTAAAAAGAGGAATTGATCTGACGGCCGATGGGGCCAGACGGCGGGGGGAGAGCTTTGAGAGTTGACGACCGGGCGGACAGCGCAGCCAAGTGCAGGGTGAAAGCACCGGGGAAGAAGAGAAGGGGGAGAGAGGAGGGGGGGGGGGGAGGGGGGTATGACTATGAGAGGAACCAGGTTGAGCGATAATGAAAATATGGCGTGGTCGATGGTTAAGGGGAAGTTGTCGCCGACCGAGAGACTCCAAGAGTGGATCTCTGTCGATGGAAATGTTACTCATAGGCAGCTAGGGATAGAAGTGCGGGCACGGGCAAAGGAGGGTATCCACATGAGTCTTTTGAGTTACCAATCCTACCGCTGGAGTTTGATGCATTGCAACCATCACGGACGACTCGAGGGCTTGCTGCTGCATGCTCATGGGAGGGGTTTGATGATATGCATAGTCGGATGTTCTCTCGGGGTTTGTCGTCCAAGACGAGATAATGGAGAGTTCATCGTCGTTGACGTCTCATATAGACACGATATACTTCTGTGCCACTGACACGTCACCCCCTTTATTCTCGCACAGTTTCCTCATCTCATTCCAGTCCGTCTCTCCCACAAGACGGCAAGACGCCCCTGCCAGAGGACGCAAGGGCCAAGCCAGATACACACAGACCCCGTCAAGTGTCGTTATTACCTGATTAGAAGACATCAGGTTATTACCAAGGATTTACCAAGGATTACGAATACATATTGATACGATACTGTACAGAGTACGGGATAGCATCATGGCTTCGGACAAGATATTTCGTATTGGTGTCGACGTCGGTAGGCTGCTTCCGTCTACGCCGTGCATGCTGGTAACTGGTAACGGGTCAATTGGTTGATGAGAACTGTTACTATCTTCAGGTGGCACCAATACCGATTGCGTCGTTCTCCGTACGTGTTGAGGTTCCCCCCCCCCCCCCCCTTCCTTACCTTCAGTTTCCTGGCATGATAATGATAATTCCGGTTGCTCACTACAATTTCAGATCCTGGAGAGTCCGATACCCCAAACAGGGGTATCCGCAGTGCTTTCAAGTCCCCAACCACTCCAGATGTCACCGAGGGTATCACCAAGGCCGTCGAGGGGGCCTTGTCCCAATGCGATGTCCCCATGGACAAGATTGGTGGAGTCATGATTGGAACGACTGTAGGTGATGGTGATGACGAGACAGCAACCATTCTCCAGACATTGAGACTCTCTCTCTCTCTCTCTCACAGCACGAGTATACACACACTCTTCAGATGCTCGGGAATACCGTCTGGAGACTACCAGATTGCCGGGATGAGATTGATGGCTAACTTTAGTGTCTTCTCTCCACTGCTGGCAGCACTTCATCAATGCCGTCGTTCAGGCCGACGAGGTCAATCTAAGGCGGCTTGCCGTCATGCGTATCTGCGGGCCCTATAGCAGGGAAAACCCGGCCTTTGGCGACTTCCCTCCGATCCTGTCTCGGCTCATGAACGGTCACGTCTCATATCTCGATGGAGGCCTGGAATGTGCGTAAAATCGGTCCCATCGAGACTACCCTATACACGGAGAGATTGACGTTCGATGACTGACGTGTGTTGACCTATATGCAATGTCGATGATGTGTAACAGATGATACCAGGGAGATCATGCCCCTTAATGAAGCTCAGATCAGGGACGAGTGCAGGTTGATCAAGGAGAAAGGGATCGATGACATCGCCATCGTCGGCATCTTCTCGCCCTTGGATACTGAGGGCTTGCAAGAAGCAAAGGTCTACAAGATTGTCAAGGAAGAGATACCCAATGCCGACATCGTCTGCTCTAGAGATGGTGAGCACCTGCCACTCTCATTCCGCATCTCAGCTTCGTGACAGGAACAGGGCCGTGGCTGACTTGCCGGCGATCAACTGCTCAGTTGGTCAGCTTGGATTCCTCGAGCGCGAGAATGCGACGATCCTCAACACGTCCATCCTCAAGTTCGCCAGGACCACCATTCAGGGTTTCAAGCTTGCTATGCGCTCCCTGGGCATCAGATGTCCCCTCTTCCTGACGCAGAACGACGGCACCATCATCGACGCCGCCGTGGCCGAAAAGTGCCCCATCAAGACCTTCTCCAGCGGCCCTACAAACTCCATGTCCGGGGCTGCCTATCTCGCTGGTCTGGATACGGCCGGTGGGAAGATGCCCGATGCCCCGGTCATCGTCGCCGACATTGGCGGTACGACCATGGATGTCTGTGCTCTGTGAGTAATCTCTCATCCGTCGCGTCCCCATCCCTGCCCTCGGGTCTGACCCATCTCTCCGCCTAGACTCCCGTCGGGGTTCCCCAGGCAAGCTGGGACCTGGGTAGACATCGGAGGTGTCAGGAGCTCCTTTTCCATGCCCGAGGTCGTCTCGGTTGCTCTGGGTGGCGGGACAAAGGTTGAGGAGAAGGGCGATGCGGTACATGTCGGTCCGGAATCGGTAGGACACCGACTGACCACCGAGGCTCTGGTCTTTGGTGGATCTACACTGACAACTACCGGTACGACAACCCCCGGGTCCCTCAAACCACCGCGACAGCATGGTTGTCAGGTGCTTCTGCTGATATGACCTAGACATCGTCGTGGCTGCCGGCAAGGAGAAGATTGGCGATGTCAGCAAGGTCAGGCATGTGCCGGCCCATGTCATTGAGAAGGCCAGAGCGTCCATGAAGAACATCATGGAGAAGGCCATCGACAGCATGAAGTTGAGCGCCGACCCTGCCGTGGTCATCGTTGTAGGCGGTGGCAGCATCGTCAACATTGACCAGCTAGACGGCGTCTGCGAGCTCATCCGCCCTCAGTATGAACTCACCTTACCCCTAGATGTGCAAGCTCAGGATGAGGACGGGTCGTCTGACAGACGCGTAGGTTTCACGACTGCGCCAACGCTGTGGGCGCCGCCATTGCCAAGGTCTCGGGATCCATCGACGTGGTCAAGGTTCTGGAGGGCCAGAACGAGGAGGAAGTCGTCAATGCCATGTGCGAGGAGGCCAAGAAGGCCGCCATCGAGGCTGGTGCCGATCCGGCCACCGTCAAGATCATCGAACTCGACAACATGCCGCTGCAGTATGTTCAGATGCGTGCCAGCCGAATCGTTGCCAGGGCGGTAGGTCTCAATCTTCTCACGTCACCTGTCCCGGTTGGACATCCCCCCTCCCCTGTCTAACGATATGCATGCATGTAGGCTGGCGTTCTTCGCAAGGACATCCCCATCGGGGCTTCCGAAGCAGAGATCGAGAAGGAAGCTGCTGCGGCCACATGGACCAAGGCAGACAAGAAGACCCAGAACTCGGAAAAGGACCCCAAGGACTTCATAGTGAGCGCCGCGGCTCTGATCGATGTCCGCGAGTACAGGCCAGAGGTCGACAAGGACGGGACCTGGTGGGTATCCGAGGTCGACTGCGAGTTCCTCTCCATGGGCTGCAGCATCCTCGCATGCGGCGGAGGAGGCCCCGGATACCTGTGCTATATGGCAGCCCGTGCCGCGCTCAAGGCTGGCCATCGCCTGCCCATTGTTGACATCGATACCCTGCCGGAGGATGACTACATCATGGGTAGCATCGCGTACGGGTAAGCGGCCCTCTCGTCCTTCCCCGGTGTCATACCTGCACACGTACGCGAGACGCATTCGGCTGACGGGAAGTACAGCGCGCCGACCGTTACACTGGAAAGGATCGCCAGCGGGACGGAGTCGATTGATGCCACCGAGGCTGTGCTGGCCGCCCACCCCGGAAAGAAGATGGTTGCCCAAGCAGCGGTAAGGCCATGTTGGAAACATTGGAGTCTGAAGAAGAAGAGGAACAGGGGTGACATGGCTGACGATGGGTGTACAGATCGAGATCGGTGGCATGAACGGGATCCGCCCCCTGCTGACAGCGCTGCACTACAACGTCCCCACGATCGACGGCGACTACATGGGCCGGGCCTACCCCCGTCTCTACATCCTCACCCCTTACCGTGAGCGCTCTCGCCCGCATGGCACCGGTGGGACTGATGTGGCTGACGAGGACGTGTAGTGTACGACATGGTCCCTTGGCCTTGCACGCAAGCCGATGGCATGGGCAATACGGTGACGGTCAACAAGGCCAAGGACTTCCAGAAGATGGAAAAGATCCACCGAAAGGCCGGGCAGGAGCTGGGGCTCTTTAGCGAGATGGTCATCCCGCCCATCTCGGTCAAGGATACCAAGCGTGTCGGTACTCTCGGGACTACGTCTCTGGCCTGGTACATTGGGAGAGCCGTGTACCTGGCTCGCCAGCAGAACACGAGCATCGGCAAGGCTATCGTCAGTGTCCCGACCACCTCTCATCCTCCCCAGCCTGCTGCCCTTCCGGGTGAGAAGATGTTGCGCTGACAGAGTAAAAGATCGAGGCAAACCCGTCCGGCCGCGTCCTCTACACGGGCAAGATCGTCAGCGTGCAGCGCTACGTCTCGGCGGCTGGCTATACGGAGGGCAAGGTCAGGCTCAGGCCTCTGGGCGATGACGAGCGGGAGTACGGCGACACGGTCAGCTCCGAGACGCGCGACATGGTGCTGCCCTTCCAGAACGAATATCTGTATGCGGAACTGGTGGAGCCCAGCGAGGCCTCGAAGATCGACAGACCTCGCGGCGAGATTCTGTGCACCGTCCCAGACCTCATCTCCCTCGTGGGTAGTGACGGGTACGCCTTGGGTACGCAGGATCTTCGATACGGCGTCAGGGTCAGCGTTGTGGCCTTTGTGGCACACCCACACTGGTAACTCTCCCTCTTTTCTTCTTCTTCTCCCCCTCTTTTTGTTTTATCCTATTTTCCCTCAACGAACGTGATATGCAATGGATGGGGCACTAACGTTTCTTCCCTGTTGAAAAGGTATACACCTCGCGGTATCAAGCTGGGTGGGCCCGAGGAGTTTGGCTACAAGGATCTAGAGTTCGTCCCTCTAGGAAACCCTTACTACGAGCCTAAGCGAGTGACCAAGGAGTTTAGACCGGAGTAGAAGCAAGTACTGCTACTAGGAGTGCTTCTATCAGAAGTACTGCTACCAGAAGTACCGTTACCAAAAGTACCCGCTGCTTACGACTAGAGATGCCACTACTTGAAGCACTATCACCCAGAAGTACTGTTACCAGACGTGCTGTTCCTAGAAGTACTGTCTCTCCTAGAAGTACTGTTGCTAGTAGAAGTACGTGCACAGATGTAATCTGCAGTATGAATCGATTCAGTGTCAGCACGAGTTCTCGGTAAATCTAGACGATGGAATAGAGCACTCATTCGACAACTAACCAGCCCCTCCCGCCGTCGAAACTAGAGTCATGAACATACGTGAACAGGCATCCCAGCTTAGCCATGTAGTCCGTCCTTTGCCAGAGATGTATATATGTTGTACGTGACAGCTTTGCTGCCGTAGATTGGTCTGCCTCATCGGGAAACCGTCCACCACACATCGCGACCCAGAACTCAGGGAAGACCCAAGAGAGTGGAGTTCGGTACGTACAGGTATGTAATACTACCATATGTAATATGTACACACTGTACGGAGTAATAGAATAGCTCTTTTCTATTTTGGGGGGGTTTCGTCATAGTGAAGCTCTCTCTCCCGGAGCAAATTTCACGGTCCGGGAAGAGAAGAGCAGCACAACGTCCTCAACACTTTGCACCAACCATCACGGAACGACTATCCCCCTCAGCCCCCAAGCCCCCAATCAACCCCACCGTCACGACCATTACGTACTACCCTCTGGATCAGCACATGTGTGTTGGCATGCGTACATGGTGCATGCATGCAAGTTTCCATCTTCCCCCATCTCCTCTCTCTCCGCTGTCTGCGCCTTCCGTCCCTCCTAGTTGCTACCTCGCCCTCTTTCCCGTCCAATGCTTCCCCTCCGACCGACACCATCAACGGTAAGACAGAAACTGCTGCTGCGATCTCATCCCTCGCCTGTCCTTCGAGCTGTCCGTCGACTCTCTCCAGCTGCAACGACGGCAACGGCAACGGCGACGACGACAACGACATCGTCATCATCACCGGCGGCATCGATTCGGACCATCTGCTGCGGACCCCGCCCTCCAGCTTCGACGTCCCCCCCCCGAACCAACAAGACAGGCAGGGCAAACTACAGCTCCGACGCGGGATTCTTCGATCCGGGACCCTGGCGCACAATGGCTGAGCAGGAAGTGTCCAAGTACCTCCAGGAGACGCACGACAAGATCTTTGACAACAACCGCAAATGGGCCAAGGCCAAGCACGACAACGACCCGGGCTACTTCGCTCGCCTGTCGGAGGGACAGACGCCCGAGTACCTCTGGGTAGGATGCAGCGACTCGCGCATCCCGGCTGAGCAGATTACGGGTCTGGAGCCGGGCGAGGCCTTCATCCACCGCAACATTGCCAACCTGGTGGTCAACACGGACCTGAACGCCATGAGCGTCATCAACTACGCCGTCCGCCATCTCGGCGTCAAGCACATCGTCGTCTGCGGCCACTACGGCTGCGGTGGTGTCAAGGCCGCCATGACGCCCAAGGACCTGGGACTGCTGAACCCTTGGCTCCGTAACATCCGAGACGTCTACCGCCTCCACGAGGCCGAGCTCGACGCCATCGCCGACTCGGAGAAGCGCTACGACCGACTCGTCGAGCTCAACGTGATAGAGCAGTGCCGCAACATCATCAAGACGGCTGCTGTGCAGAACTCGTACGAGGAGAACAAGTTTCCCGTCGTTCACGGCTGGGTCTTTAGCTTCAAGGACGGCCTACTCAAGGACCTCGACATTGACTTCCAGGCTGTCCTCAAGGACATTCAGAAGATCTACAACCTTACGAATTAAGAGGAAGAAGAGAAAGAAGTATGATTGAAGCAAAAAAAAAGAGAGATCAACAGGTTTTTTTTTTTTTTTTTTTTTTTTTTTGAAAGAGGAAATTGAACACGGCAACATGTACGTAAACACACGGCGCAGTGACGGTGCTGGCAAGAGTACACGACGACCCCGTCGACGGCCGAGGCAGACCCGAGGGGATCAAAGTGAAGCGAAACGATCATCTTGGCTCTTGGTGTGGGATCTATGTTTACTCGATGCCTTGAGAACTAGAAGGGAATGCGGATGATGGTTAGTTGCGCCACCTCAGTAACGCCTGGAGCTTCATCAGCCCTCTCGAGAGACGGATGATGTATAATCTCGTAGGTACCGTCGGTACTCGAACACGCCTCTATTACCATCCAAACCACGTGCCATCCCATCTGATATCACGCTGAACTCGACGCACTGTTCTATCTTCTCGGGAGATTGATGCATCGAGATGCTAACCCCTACATGCTACGCTACATCGACTTCTCGGGTCCACCGACCTCTTGGCTCATGTCCGATCTCTTGCTATCCAACTTGAACAGAGCTCAACCGCTGCAAGGTGCGTGAAACGACATGAGTGATACGCATCCAATGATAGTTCCGTCCTTGATAGCCTTCAACCTTCAACTTGGGTCGATATGGGGCACAAAAAAACACACACACACACAAAAGGGGGGGGGGGCTCGTGACAACTACATAAACAACAGACGACAATAATAACAAGGTTGACGTCTAAAACTGGGAGACACATCTGTAATAGGATGGATAACGTTTAGATCAAGCTCAGAATGAAAAGGGGAAAGGAGAAAGTCCTCCATTGCCACTGGATGTTCAGCAAGATGAACAGCACAGTCACGCACTCACCCATCCTCTCCTTCTCTCCTACGCACGCACTCACAGATGTACGAGCCTGGTGTCCCGTCTGGTGTCGTATCGTGTGCACCGAGATAGGAATAGAATACCTACGCATCTACCGGGACTCTCGTCGTCGCGGAGAGTATCAAAGTCCATCCTTCACAATGGCTGACTACCGTCAATCCCCCGAATTCCCCAAGCACCCCTTCCTCCTCTCCGCCGAGGAGACGGCCGAGGTCCTCCGGACGGATACAGTGTCTGGCCTCAACAGCTCGCGAGTCACCCAGCTGCAGAGTATCTACCCCAAGAACGAGCTGCAGGCCGCCCACGTCACCTCGCCATGGAAGATCCTGGCCAAGATGTTCTTCAACCCCATGATTCTGATTCTCGTCTTCTCCATGTGCCTCAGCTACTGCATCAAGGACTACGTCGAGGGAAGTATCCTGGCCGTCGTCATCATCCTGAACGTCGGCATTGCATTCTGGCAGGACTACCGCGCTCATAGGCAGATGGATTCCTTGCGTGCTTTATCGTCGCCCAGCGCCATGGTCCTACGAGATGGCAGAACTAGAATCATTTCAAAGTAAGTATTCAATCCTCTATGAGAAGAAGAAGAAGAAGAAGAAAAAGAAGAAGAAGAAGAAGAAAAAAAAGTATACTAACTGGCTGTGTTTTCTTTTTCTTTTTTTTAAAAAAAACTAGTCCTGAAGTTGTCCCCGGTGACATTGTCCTTCTCAAGACGGGCGACACAGTGCCCGCTGACCTGCGAATCTTCGAGTCCATGAACCTCTCGTGCGAGGAGAGCCAGCTGACGGGTGAGTCGGTGCCAGTCGACAAGTTCGCGCATGATATACCTCCGACGGGAGACGAGGCGGACACGAGCATCGGCGATCGTTTCAACATGGTCTACGCCACCACCGTCGTCAAGACGGGTCGCGGCCAAGGCATAGTCACCCATACCGGCATGAGCACCGAGGTCGGCAAGGTTGCCTCCACGACGAACCGCCGACACCGCAAGGCCGGCCGATCCGTGAGCTATAGAAAGTACGGCAAGCGACAATTTGTCATGGGGCTGGGCAGGCGCCTGTACGATGCGACGGGCGTGTTCCTCGGTCTCACGGGCGGGACGCCCCTCCAACGCAGGCTGTCCATCCTCGCGTACCTCCTGTTCCTGCTCTCGTTGATCCTGGCCACCATCGTCTTCGCCGTCAACAGCTGGAGCCTGGACAGCGACGTGGTCATCTACGCCATCTCCATCGGCATCGCCATCATCCCCGAGTCGCTCGTCGCCGTCCTCACGATCACCATGGTCGTCGCCGTCACCGTCATGCGCCGGTCCAACGTCGTGGTCCGCGACATGTCGGCCCTCGAGGCGCTCGGCAACATCACAAACATCTGCTCCGACAAGACCGGCACCCTCACCGAGGGCGCCATGATCGTCCGCAACGTCTGGCTGCCCGGCGGCCACGAGTACACCGTCCACGAGTCGCAGGACCCGCAGGACCCGACGCAGGGTCACGTCACGCACGCGCTCGCCGCCGGCGACGCTCTCCCGCCCGCCGCCAACCATCCGGAGGAGGGCAAGGCCGTGCTTACCGATCCCCTCCGCCTGTTCACCCAGAGCACAGCCCTCTGCAACCTCGCTACCGTGCGCTACACCGGCGGCCAGGAAGGGTGGAGGACGACCGGGGAGCCGACCGAGATCGCCCTCCAGGTCTTCTCCCATCGCTTCGGCCAGGGAAAGAAGAGCCTGAGCGATCAGGGCTGGCGCCAGGCTGCCGAGTTCCCGTTCGACAGCAACATCAAGCGCATGTCTGTCATCTACGAGGCCCCCCCCGAAGCCGGCGACTACCTGGCCCCGGGCGGCGGCGCAGACGCCGCGGTCGACAGCTACGTCTTCACCAAGGGTGCCGTCGAGAGAGTTCTGGATCTGTGCGATTACGTCGGCACGGACCGCTCCCCTCTCCCGATGACGGACGCGGTCAAGAAGGACGTCCTGGAGCAGATGATCAAGTTCGCCTCCAAGGGGCAGCGCGTCCTGGCCGTCGCGTACAAGCCGTGGGCCGGGGCCGTGCCCTCGCCGGGAGCTGCGGGCCGCGGCAACCCCGGTGACGGCGCGCGGCTCAGGGCCCAGGCCGAGCACGGACTCACTCTCCTCGGCCTCGCAGGCATCTACGACCCTCCCCGCAGGGAAACGAGGCGGTCCATCGCCGAGTGCGCCAACGCCGGCATCAGGGTGCACATGCTGACGGGCGACCACCCGGAGACGGCGGCGGCCATCGCCAAGGAGGTGGGCATCATCCCGACGACTGCGGGTCTGCTCCCCGACAGGGTGGAGCGGTCGCTGGTGCAGAAGGCGTCCAGCTTTGACGGCATGACGGATGCCGAGATGGACGCGCTCGAGGAGCTCCCGCTCGTGATCGCGCGGTGCGCCCCCGAGACCAAGACGCGCATGATGGACGCGCTCGCCCGGCGCGACGCCTTCACGGCCATGACGGGCGACGGCGTCAACGACGCGCCCTCGCTGTCCCGAGCCGACGTGGGCATCGCCATGGGCTCCGGGTCCGACGTGGCCAAGTCGGCGTCCGAGATGGTGCTGTCGGACGACAGGTTCAGCTCGATCGTGTCTGCGGTGCGCGAGGGCAGGCGCATGTTTGACAACATCCAGAAGTTCGTGCTGCACATGCTCGTGTCCAACATTGCCGAGATCATCCTGCTCATGGGCGGGCTGCGCTTCATCGACTCGGACGGCATGTCCGTCTTCCCCATCTCGCCGCTGCACATCATCTGGGTCAACATGGCGACGTCGCTGTTCCCCACCTTCGGCCTGGGCCGCGAGCCGGCCTGCCCCGAGGTGATGGGCCGCGGGCCCCGGTGCCGGAAGCGCGGCCTCTTCACCGACGAGCTCCTGGCCGACATGCTCCTGTACGGCGCGGTCATGGGCTCCTGCAGCCTGGCCACGTTCTGGATCACGCTGTACATGCCGTACTGGCGGAGCGGCGTCCCGGACCGGACGCCGACGGACCCGCTAGGTCACGACTGCAACGAGTCGTGGAACGAGACCTGCCACGCCGTCTTCCGCGCCCGCGCCGCCACCTTTGCCGTCTTCGCCCTCCTCATCCTCCTGTCGGCCTGGGAGTTCAAGAGCCCGAAGCGGTCCCTCTTCAGCCTCAGCGCCGACCGGCCCTCGTGGAAGGACCTGTACGCCAACAGGTTCCTCTTCTGGTCCGTCTCCGTGAGCTCCGTCAGCATCGTCCCCGTCGTCTACATCCCCCACGTCAACCTCGCCTTCTTCAAGCACCGCGCCATCTCGTGGGAGTGGGGCGTCGTCGCCGCCTTCCTCCTCCTCTACCTCACCTGCGTCGAGATGTGGAAGCTCGTCAAGCGTCACTTTGGCCTGTTCCCCGACCGTCCCGTCCACCACGCCTCCTGGGATCAAGGCAGCTCATCTGTCTGCTGCGTCGACGGCAACGGCAACGGCAACGGCAACGGCAAAATCAGCCATGACGGCGAACTCGTCAACGTCGACATGGACCATAGCAGCTTCCGCACCTGGACCGTGCTCCCTCGTCGCCTCAAGCCCGCTGTCTATCCCACCACAGCTTCCTCGTCGAGCAGTGCTACCTTTTCTTCACCTCAATGGAGGAGCTGAACCTTTCTACGTCCCGTGACAGTAATGGTTCCCACCTCTCTCACAGGCATGTGGTGACTCGTCTTATCGAGGAACGATCGGGTTGAGCACATGTGTTCAGGTTGACACTTGAATGTGAATCGCGTATTGCACATCTTGGGGGGCATATCTTATGAGAGTAAGGGAAGCTGTGTGTAGATTTTCTCGTTTCTTTTTTTCCCCTGCTTATCAAAGTCACTTGGATTAGTTAAACCTTTCAATATTGATTGTTTTCGAATTGGTCTAAGTATTATTCAAGATGGTATGATCATGTACCATGCATGACTCGTTCTTGTCATGGAACCTTTATGTGATGAATTCATGTGTCTCTCACCTATTCTATATGTTCCCGTGTATCCCCCCAAACGCCCATCATATATTCGTATCTAGCATTGGAAGAAGAAAAAAAAAGGGTAGAAAGGTATCGAAAAACGACAAGAGAATGGATAATGACGTGTCCGTCTGTTCAGAGCATGGCCGACAGAGCTAAGAATGCCATAGCCAACGTGGCAGTTCGAGTCGTAGGGTAGGTTGAAGCGGCGGGGCTCTCCTTGCTACTCTGGGGATCAACGCCCGTTGCGCTGAAGCCGAGATACCACGACCCAATGTCAGTCAGCTGGCCGCCTTTGCTGAGGAAGGCAGCGTTCGGACCGACATTGGAATTATCGGAGCGAAACGCGCCGAAGTAGCTGTAGCGCCCAATGTAGTCTTGGCCGTCGAACCATTCTGCCGTCTCGTTGTAGAAGGCCTGAGTGGCTGAGAGGTCCTGGTTGGCATAGGCGTATTCGGTAATCCAGATTTCGGCACCGGGCCATCTTGAACAGGTCAGAGGGATGATTATGGGAAGGGGGGAAGGACGGAGTGAAGGGGAGGAAGCAAGCTTGAGGACATACTCGCCGCGACGTTCACCAATGTGAGAGGCCAGGCCTTCAAAGTTATCGTACCAATGCACAGGGAGGAAGTCCCAGGTACAGTTGCGCTTGCTGCTGCTCTCGCTCCTCTCCGCCAAGATGTCGGAGCAGTTGGAGAGGAATTGCCGCAGCCATGGGAGGCTGCCGGTTCCGCCGGTGCACCCAGGCAGACCGAGCTTGACGCCTCGCCTGGCAAGAGGCTCAAAGTTGGCGACCCAGGCGCGGGCGGCGATTTTGGGGTCCAGGTCGCTGCCTCCCCAGCTGGACGGTGCGTCGGGCTCGTTAAAGGCCAGGACGTGGCTGACGTTGACGCCCTGGTCATCCATGAGGCTGGTGACTGAGTCGAGCCAGGTCGTGTCTTCCGGATTCGACGAGTTGGCTCCCCACATCATGGGGACGAACTCAAACGAGTCTTTGCCGCTGTAGACGGGAGACGGCAGCTCGCCATAGTTGTAGTACCATGACAGGTCGCTGCCCGGTTCGGTCCAGATGGAGTTGTCGTCGGGGTGCTTCTCGTCCGGGACGAAGCATAGGCCGCGCTTGGAAGGAGACGGCGAGTCGGCGGCAGACGCGACACCTATCAGCACCGCTGCTACCGACGCGATCGAGATCTTGACCATGGCGTGCAGCACAGCTCTCTTCTATCTCTGCTGATCTTCCCAACAAGGGTTCCCAACAAGGAAGGGAAAAGAAAAAGAGATGGGAGAGAGAAGAAGGTGGGACGAACAATATATCACTCCAAGGAAAAGGAAAAGCAAAAAAAAGAACAAAGAGACGGGAAGACTCTCTCCCCCCCCCATGTCGGATACGCAGGTAATCACGCCGTCTTACAGGTCTATGGCATTCGTATCATCAGAGTGCGTCTCGACGTGATAGAGCGGCAGGTCACAGCTGAGAGGTGGCACATTGCGGCGTGGTGGTATCGACATGCGCGCTACTGCAGGCCCAGGCCGTGAACACGAAGATTGTGAAGAGCCAACACGTCTTGGCGCGGGAGAAGAAATGGCTTATGGTTCTGATGAAATGAGAACTGTAGTCGGATATGGGATTGTTGGAATATTACCTGGATGACTTAGTTATAGGGAAGATGATGAGAGAAGGGGGGAGGAGAGGGGGGGAGAAGGAGATGGACGCCCTGCTGTTTTGGTGTTTCCATCTTTTATTTTTTATTTTATTCTTTATTTTATTCTATTTTTTTACTACTTTCCTCTACGTTTATGCCATCATTGATCATTTTACGAGGCAGGTGCAATCAAGATCAAGTTCTCGGGTGCTCCTTCCCCGAAAAAGACCTTTTTTTCTCTTCTTCTTTTGAATCTGTAAATAATGACTAATACGCATGTCGTCACCTTATATCCAAGATGCAGACTCCGAATATTTGAGATTCACCATTTGCCGTGTAGTTGGCTCTCGTCTATGCTTATGCAAAGATTGCCGTACGTGAATGTCCATCATGGCTGGAGAGCTTCAGGTTGAGGGGTAAGATGGATAGCTTCTACGAGCCTTGGCTACGTGGGATCCCCCTTGCTCACCACTCCACTCAGGACGAGGGATAGAATCAGAACCTGTTGAGACGATACATCTATATGCACGCAGTGCACACCAGATAAAAGGTACCTTGTCAATATCCAAGCCAATCTTGGCCATCTACCGCAGGTATTGCTGACCAGAGCCATTGCCTATGATATGATAGTACCATCTAGCCCATGATACCCATGACGGGGAGCACCTCGACCGAGTCTAGTTCTCTTGTGCAATCACTTGTTTCTGAGATAGTAACCGCGGCATCTTCAATCTTCCCCGTGAGCCAGTCAGTCCATGAGCCATGGAAATGACTAAGCATACATCGTGCCTCGGCTCAGCCCCACACTCTCCCCGTATTTGCCGACGACGGACGACTTCTCGTAGATGAGGAGTTGAGACTGATTGATTCCTGGGGAAGCTCTCTTCCTCTGATCATTGACTAGTGATCATTGTCTCGACGTGATCAGCTCACACGTTCGATCCCAATCTCGTGATCGATATCTTCTCTCTTCTTCTCTCTCCCCTCTCTCCCTCACACACACACACACACACACACGCAATCTCTCCCACGCACACGCACACGCACATCATGGCAGCTGAGCGCATCGGATCCATCCTCCGCCATCTGGCTCCGGGATCGTCCCTGAACAACATGTACGTTTTGCCCGGTCTCTGCCTCAGATTCACATCGTATCCGTCGCTGACAAGGTACCTCTCAAGTCAATCCAAGAACCCCGACGACATCGTCATCACTCTCGCCATCCGTACTCCTCTGACCAAGGCCGGCAAGGGAGGCTTCAAGGACACCAGCCTAGAGTACCTGGTCTATGCTCTTCTGGACCAGGTCCGGCAGCGCAGTGGAATCGACCCATCGCTGGTCGAGGATATCTGCCTCGGAAATGTACGTATTCCCTTTTCTTCTTCTTCTTTTCCCCTTCTTTTTTCTTCTTTCTTCTTCTTTTTTTCTTCTGCTTTTACAAATATATATATATATGTATATGTATATATATATATATTTGTATATCTGTATTTCATATGTACCTCGTTCTTCATCTTTCCATCTCCATCTTACGTCTTGAACCAAGGCTTCTCCCCCCTCCCCCCCGCCATGTATTGACAGACAAAACCCCCAAAAAGGTCTCCGATAGCAAGGCAGCATACAAGCTGCGTGCGGCCTCGCTAGCCGCCGGTTTCCCCAACACAGCAGGCGCCAGCTCTGTCAACCGTTTCTGCTCGTCGGGTCTGAAGGCCACCGCCGACATCGCCCACGCCATCACCAACGGCTCCATCGAGGTCGGCATCGCCTGCGGAGCCGAGAGCATGTCGGCGGGCGGCGACCGTCTGGAGCAGCCGTTCGATGAGGCCGTGGTGGCCAAGAGCCAGGAGGCCGCCGACTGCATGCAGCCCATGGGCTGGACGAGCGAGAACGTCAGCCGCGACTTCGGCGTCACGCGCGACCAGATGGACGAGTTCGCCGCCACCAGCTACCAGCGCGCCGAGGCCGCCCAGAAGGCCGGCTGGTCCGCCGACGAGATCGTCCCCATCACCACCCGCGTCAAGGACAAGGACGGCAGCTGGCAGGAGGTGACGCTCACCCGCGACGACGGCATCCGCCCCGGCACCACCGCCGAGGGCCTCGGCAAGATCAGGGCCGCCTTCCCCCAGTGGGGGTCCACCACCACCGGTGGCAACGCCAGCCAGGTCACCGACGGTGCTGCCGCCCTCCTCCTCATGAAGAGGTCTACCGCCGTCAAGCTCGGCCAGCCCATCATGGCCAAGTATGTCGGCTCGACCGTCGCCGGTCTGGCCCCCCGCATCATGGGCATCGGTCCCAGCATCGCCATCCCCAAGCTCCTCGCCCAGAAGGGCGTCAACCTCGACGACATTGACGTCGTCGAGATCAACGAGGCCTTCGCCTCCATGGCTGTCTACTGCCGTGACAAGCTGGGGCTCGACTGGGCCAAGATGAACCCCCGCGGTGGCGCCATCGCTCTCGGCCACCCGCTCGGTGCTACGGGTGCTCGCCAGGTCGTCACCGGTCTGAGTGAGCTGAGGCGCCAGAAGAAGAAGATGCTGCTGGTGAGCATGTGTATCGGTACCGGTCAGGGTATGGCGGGCATGTTTGTGAATGAGCAAGAGGTTTAGATTCCGGCCTTCCATCTTCTCTCCACCATCAATTCCATGTCTACTCCATGTATATGTTGACACCTGTATCTTCTCCCCGTCCATAACCTTGAAACTCGCGCAACCCAAATTGGAATGGCAATKTYTTTTTTTTTTTTTTTTTTTTTTTKTATTCGATCATCTCTRTCCTCTTTTCYGTCKACAGWTAAACTCRATTTACAAGRKGTGATGCGTGACGCTTCCACTGACGTAGTCATCTAGATCTGCATCATTCCTCTATCTTCAGCTCGCCAACCTGATCCGCAGTCTCCTCCAGCCCCTCGCCTTTGTTTCTCTCCTCAACGTTACTCCCAGAAACCGGTGCTGTCGAGTCGGCTTCCACCTTGCGCCCGTGCTCGGCAAAGATGGCATGATCTCGCCGCAGAGGTCGTCCCTGGCACACGTACGCCGCTGGCGTGTGCATCACGTCCTGCCCCATGCGTCGCAGCGACAGCCACTCCATCAGGAACCCCGCCATGTCCTGACAGAAGGCGTGATTCCGCAGGTAGTCGCCCATGTCGACGCTCTCATCATACGTCATGTACAGCTGTCCAGCCAGGATGCCTAGCTCCGTTCCCAGCCACGCCGGGAACTGGTAGTCGTCGCGAAGCGGTGGAAGTGTCAGGTACTTTAGGCTGCCGAACCGGACCATGGCGCGGGTCACTGGTGCCGCATACACCAGCAGGTGTACGGCTTTCGAAGCACGGATTTCGGGCAGTAGGAGCTCCAGCTCCTCGGGGATGATGACCAGTGCTGTCTCCTTCGTCGGGCTCCAAAGCACCCATTCCACCGGTCGCTATCTCCACGTTAGTTCTCGTTTCCGTCTTCTTTCGTCCCCCCCCTAATCTTCTTCAAGATTTCTCTCCTCCCTGGGCATCGGGAATGGGTGGAACTTACCATGAAGTTGTCCAGCTGACGTTGTTCATTGTTGGATAGCGCTGTCGTACGTCTGAACTGAACTGTCACAAACACCCGCGACGATACTGCGCGCACTCTATACTGCATCCCGACATTGGTCTCGGCAATAAACTTGAATGCTGGCTCGTACCACCTTCCCGATGGCGCCAGCTCTCCCGTGCGCACGAACTCTACCATGGCCTTGTCAAGCCCTGGGAACGACAGGGCCGGATACTTTTTCCGCGTTTGTTTGATCCTGATCTGCTCCACTTGGGCTTCGACCTCGCGCTCCTGTTCCACCTCTTCGAAGGCACCTGTGCTGTCGCCTGTGGGAGCTTCATTGCGGGTCGAAATGACCGCTTGTTTCTGCGCTGCTAGCTGATCCGCGAAGCCCCGCAGCCTCTCCGATGCTAGACGTGGTGTCGGCGTCTCCCTCGCTGCTGTCGGGTCGTTACCGTAAAGCTGGACCAGTGTCTGCCTCTCTGGCTGCTCAAGAACCCGCAGCAGTGCCTTGCGAGATTGGACTTCACAAAGACGGCCTCCGTACCGTAGCTGTGCGTCGCTGCGTCTGCAAAAGTCTCGACCGTACGAAAGGTAGAGGGAGTGCAGCTGCTCATTGGCCTGACACGTCTGCTCTAGAAGCCACAGCACCGCATGGTTCGATTCAATCCGGCCAGGATTGACCCCGAGGACCTGTAGGCACACGTCGCGGATGCTCTGATCTACCTCGGGTGGGGCGTAGAACACGACAGACTGCGTCGATCCAAGCTGGCGAAGCCGCATTGCCGCCTGCACCGTGTGGTCCTTGGTCTGCCCCAGCGCTAATGTCAGAGCCCCGCACGCGTCCGGGGGCAACAGCAGGTCAACGCCTCTCGTGTGGGCTTCGTCAAAGTAGATGAGGCATTCGCCTAGCCGGTCGGCAAACGGGGTCGCTATCAGTGGTGCTTTCCTGACAGTCGAGTCCCGGAACAGCACCCACGCACGGTTGTCGGATGCTCCAAAGAACACGGCAGCCGGCCGTTCCTTCTCCGCAAGCAACCACGCCTGCACAAAGGCTTCATTGTCTTTCTCGAGAATGTATGCTCCAGCGTCGATGAGGATGCGCGTCTGGCTCTTGACGAGGGCATGGATCAACCTGTCCTCCGACCAGCGCTGCCGGCCATCTTGCGTGCACACGTACTGCCGGTTGCGGGGTTGTAGCAGATGAGTCAGTACCTCCGCGTTGGTCTGCCGCAGACTGGCCAGGTCGTCCTGGCTGATGGTAAGCGGGAGCATCATCTTGTTGTCGTTGGTGCCGCTGAATCCCGTCGTGCGCGCTCCGAGGCCTCCGCTGCCTTCTTCCCCGTCCTGACCAGGGTTGAAGATGGGAAGATCCCAGGCCGACACCTGCAGTTTCACCGAGAATTGCCGGGCATGGACCGGAAACACAAACGTGTTTAGGTAGTGGTCTATGACGGGGCGCGTCATCCGCAGCTGTTGCCACAGCGTTTCAACCTGCCCGTCGTCGTCGATGTTGACCACGTTCCAGTGGTGCAGTTCGGCGGGTAGCCCCTCAGGTTGGCATCCCTCGGGAGGATTCTCGGGGTTGCAGCCCGATATCCACCTCTCATACTCGACGGCTGGGTCGTCTGCGTGCTGCAGCACATGTCGCAGCCCCTCACGAAGTTGAGACTTGTCGAGGCCGGTATAGTAAAACGCTAGGCAGGTGAAGAGAATAGCGACATCTGGGTGACCAAATTCGGACCGTTCTGAGGGTACCCCCTTCGCTTCGTAAGGGACGGCAATTGGCCAACGCCTAGGATGTAGTCCGTACTGTACATTCCATCGCTTCTTGAGGCATGTTGATAGGATGCCGTTGGCCAAGAGGCCGCGCACCAGCAGAAGACCTTCCGATACCGAATTCGGGTCATGAAATAGTAGAGCAGCTTCGTCGACATCTTCTTGGCTTGCATCGTCCGATAGGGCACGCCTGATGAGCTGGCTGGCTTCCTGTGGGGAAGCAGTGGCCTGTATCCTTCGCTTCGGAGTCTTCCTTGGAGCCGGATGGAAGAATGGAACACACCCATTGCTGATGCTATCGACGATAACCCGGCGAATCTCTTCATTGATCTCGGTGCCCAAGATGTAGACCATGGGGAAGCCTCCACTGGGTCGCTGCACTACGTTGACAGCGTGTGGGAAATCGCTACATAGCGTCGGCAGGTTGTCTTCGACCACGGAGAGCAGCATCTGCATCAGCTTCCAGCGGTGTGGGGAACCGTCCACAGTCGTTAGCTGACCGCTAGGGTAGACTAGCTGCGTCTGCACTGCCAAGGTGAAGTCGGACTCGTCCAGGACATCTCGACACATTGTGCGTGTTAGATGGTCCTGGAACCGAATCATGTCGTTACCCACGTCGATCTTTCCGTCAGCCAAGCACTGCAGACCACTCAGCTTAAAGGCAAGGATGTGTTCCGGTGCTGCTAGGAGCACGCCGCGGTTCTCCATCAGGTCGTAGTGGTGTTGTTTGAATATCTGCACCAAGTCATGCCCCGTAGGACCGCTTGCCGTGCGGCGAGAAAAGGGGACATGGCGAAGCTCACGGCCAACCAGCCCTCCAAGCCGGGATTGCACCATTTGTGCCGTCGGCAGCAGAAGAGTCTTTGGAACGATTAGTCGTACCAGCTGCTGGCCGTCAGCAAGAACAGCCATGGCCATGGGCACGATGCACGACGTTTTCCCTTGAGAGGATTCATGTTAGTGTACGCCAAGATGTTAGGAATGCTGGACGATGATTAGGTGAACTTGCCTTTTCCCATGTTCAGCTGCAAGACCGAGTTCCTTCGCTTGCCAGGTGCAATTATCTCTCGCGCTACCTCGACTTGCTCTTCGCGAATGAGTATATCGCTGTCGATCTCGAGAAGCAGCCAGTCTGGGTTATCCTGCGGCTTCCAGCTTCCATGACCTCGATTCTGCCACTCCTCCTTGGCTCTGTGAGTGTGCCCCTTCTGGCACAGCCTCTGTACGCGCTTCAATCTCTGCAGATTGGCAACAGCACAGCCAAAGGACACCAGCGATTTTTTGACATTCTTCCCAAGTCTGACCTTGGAAGTAGATTGCAGGAGTTCCAACATGGAAACGAACGTCAGGCGAGGCCACTGACCACCTTGGTGCAGCCAGGCTTGACCGTGCCCCGACGTGGTATCTGCTTCTTGTGTAGTGTTCGAAGAGAAGGCCGTCACAAGACGCGTGAATTCGGCGTTCGCGGCATGTAGGCTGTTCGAGATTCTGTTCTGGATACTGCCAAGGGAAGGAAGTTTCGCTTCTACCAATCCCATCTCCTTCTGCATGTTTCCGGCATCCTCCAAGGCATCAAGACTCCCGCTGAGATCGTGAGAGTATTTTGATCGGTGCGTACTTGAGGACTTTCCAAAGAGGGTGACAATGTTCCGTAGTTCTAGAACTTGTTCTGACCGGTTAGGCTGCACTACGTTCCTTCTTCCAGTGCCCTCCGGCTGAGCGCCTTCAGGTTGCGTGGGAACGGTCGGGAGGCTGTGATCGGTTTCCATCTTGTAAGAGAGCGGTGCTGCAATATCATGGGTGGCCAGGTCTTCGAGCAGTGAAGGTACAATGCTCTGGGGCGCTGTGACGAGGGTTCTGGGAGCTCTAATCCGCTTTCCTTTGCCCATCGCCCTGGATTGTTTTCCCTTGACAAACGAATCGGTTGACTTCTCAACCTCAACGACATATTCCGAGAGGGCCTTGTTCCGGAGCAAGCGCTCCCACTCCGGCTCAATTGACCTGAGTGCATCCAGAACGATTATCATGTCCGAGGTAAAGCCGTCGGCGGTCGGCGTGGTTTTCTCGGGCCATTCGTGCAGGACATACGCCGCCATGCGTGATCCTTCGGCTTTGCAGCGTGCCAGATGCCCATCGGACGCTTCTGTGGTCTCGGTGGCCGTCCAGTTCAGGTATTGGCCTGCCGCTAAGGGTTCCTCTTGTACGTATGCTGTGGAAATGAGAGCCTCCAAGGTCTCGGCCGTCGGTTGTTCCTCGAACCTGAAGGCAGCGTAAGATGGGTGTTGTGGTGGTTGGAGAGCCCGGAGATGGAATAAACGGAAGTATGCTGCCAGAAGATATATCGCATCATTGTCGGAGTCAGGTGCAAATGCCAGAAGGCCCAGGGTGAACATGACGTTAAATTCCTGTGCCGGGTCTGATGTCCGGCAGAGCTCGACGAAGCTACCCCAACGTTCCCCAAGCGTCTTTGCATCCATAAGCGTGGCAAGCGAAGAAGACTTGGCGTCAAAGGGGCTGTGAAAACCGCCTATGAGAGGCCACTCGTGGAGGATATCGCGAAATGGCCGCACCATGGAAACTCGGAACACGTCGCTCCGTAATACGTGGGCGATATGGTACACGTCGTCTGCCGCTGAGTTCAGCTTTGCAGAAGCATCATCTCTCACGCCTGCCGTGCCAAAGGTGCCGCTCGATCTATACTTCAGGTCCATGTTTTGAATAATCGAAAATCCTGGGCTCCGTGACTGAGGGCACTCATATCGGAGCTGCTGTATCTCGCCTCGACGTTGTAGAGAGCTCTCATACGTGTTCACGACGGCAGCTTCCGATTTCGCTTCGGGTGAGAACATGGCGAGTCTCTGTATCTTGTGCCAGATTTCACCAGCAAGCCGTTTGTATCGGTCCTTCTGCATGCATATCGGCAGCGAGCTGCTCCATCTCGTCTTCTGCAGGACTCGCTTATCCTCAGGATAGTAGGTTCGCAGGGGCGCAAGATGCCCAATCTGATCGAGAATTTCGACACCAGGGTTGGACAATTCACTCCACGGTTGGATGCGCCCGGAAGTGAGAGTATGGACAGACTCCTCCTCGCCGGTGCGGCCGGTAAGGGGGTCTGGCAGTGGAAGCGATGTGAAGGCATGCAGCTGGGCCTTGGTGAACAGGAGTAAGGGCTCTGGGGGACAGGTCAGACGACCCAGAACGTCGTCAATGTCAAAGCGTCCGTATGCCTTGTCACTTTCTGCCGAATCTCGGACGCCTCTGCCAATTATTCTCGAAACACAGTGAGGGCCCGATGAATGGTGATGTAGACGCCCCAGTGGCGTGATGATACTCCGACGGTCATGGCATTCCGTCTCGCGCAAGACAATCTTGCTCTGAAATCCATATAGAGTACCGACGTCCTGGTCTGGGTCCACCTCTGCACGAAGCTCTCGGGACTGAAGGCAGCCATTTGTGCCGACGACAAATGAGAGATCAAGGTGGCGAAGCTCAACCGACAGTCTGCCACGCTCGCTAAGTGGCAGGTAAACCACAAGACGCTGGGGATCAGCAAAGTAGCGGAACACATCTGCAATCTTGCTGCAGATCCTGGAATGCGGATCCGCAAGCAGTACTCCTCTGCGCTGGACCTGACGAGACTGAAGGTCCAACTTCCAGTCTGCAGGTCGGGAGATCCATTTTGAACGACGGCATTCCACTTTCCAAGTACGGCAATCGAACCAGTGGGAGCAGTTGTCGACGAGGGGACGCGGCAAGTCGTAAACTTCCGCGGCACTGATGAAAATGTGCCGCGGGACGTACTCCCGGATTTTGCCATAGCCGTCCCTTATCACGATGATGACGCGCCCGTTGCGGCGGCCAAAGTGGACCTCGTTGTCCTGAACCTTGAAGATGAGTCGGCAGGTCATTCCTGGTAGGTTAGATGCGTATGTGAGCAGATGCTCGGCCCCGATAAGCTCCCTGACATCTTTCGAATCCCGGATGTCTTGTGGAAGCTTATTGGCCGTTTGGCCGCCCACCAACAGATGTCCTTCTGTATAATTCAGGTCGATTCTCTGAGGCTTCAGGGAATCATCTGCCAAATCTTGAAGGATAAACGTCATCCAGTCTTCATCGGTATTGCTATGAAAGCGCTGGCAGGAGATATGCAGGTTCTCGGTCCTGCCCTTTCTGCCAGACTCCCCTGAATCGTAGTCGTCCAGACCGATGCCGTATAGAACTGCACGAGTCACAGAGGCTGGATGAGCCTCGATGGCTTCACGGATTCTGTGCCTCAGGTCGTTGGCCAGCACACAGTCCTGACGGAAGTCCCGCCTATCATGCAGTGGCAGTGCTTTGACGTCCAGAACAAGATTCTGTTGCAGAGCGACAGAGGAGTATAGAAAATCCGAGACGTCACGGGCCGACATTACGCTTTGGCCATTGTCGGCAAATGCAGAGTATGTGCGGCGGCAAAGCAGAGCTGCCCTGAATGCATACATCGAGTTACGCCGTGCAGTTTCGCTGTCTGTCGTGGCCCTGACATCCCGTCCCAAAGCTTGAATCCAGTCGAGCATGGTGGACCTCGAAGACTGCAGAAGTGCAGAGGTTGATGTGCGAACATCGTCACTCTCCGTGAAAGAGTGTATCCTCAGGGTCAAGGAAACTATGATGCCCATGGTTTGGGTCTCACGCCAATTGCCCCGGATGCTGTCAAGGCGTTTTCCCAACTCCTCGAGCAAGCGACAGACAAAGTAGTCGTCTGTCAGTATAGAGTGACAGACGCCACGGACAGTGTCTCGGTATTGTCCCATGGTCGTATCGGAGCCATGAGAGGGGCGTCGAGGGCCTGCTTGGCTAGCTAGTCCCGAGAAGAGAAGCCTCGTATCCACCTTGCTGAAGTTGAGGTTAGGAGACCCGAGTTCGGTCAGCATGGTCAGCCAGCGCCGCGATTGTCCCGACAAGAGCCGCTGGTATGCCTCGAATTCATGGACAGATATGCTTTGGGGACACTGCAGTCGACTCGAGACTGCTTCGTAGGACGAGGGTCCCTGAGGACTGGTCGGCGGGTGCACAATCGTCGGCAGGACTGTGGAGGTAAGAGAAGCAGGGACATGGAGGCCGCACCAGTGCGCCAAGGTGAGAGGCATAGAAAGGTCATCAACCCACACCTTTGCAGCGGAGTCATACAACTTGAAGTCGAGCCCAAGCGGAACCAGAAGGCTTTCTAGATCGGTCTTCATCTTCCGCGTGCTATAGTGCGTCTTGGAGAAGCTCTTCTTGACGGATGCCATGGACACAATGGGCTGCAAGCCGCCATTCTGGGTAAACTTATTCAAAAACGGTTCCTTCCTCAGGAGGAAGCATTGCTTTTTGGAAACAGGGAGGCTCGGGTAAGCAAGCTGTGTCATGATGGCCCACGTCATATCGCGGTACCTAGCTATGCATGACGGGATTGCCAACTCAAAAACAATAGCACAAGCTTTCGAGGTATCTTCTGGTAGCAGATCCTCGCAGACGCTTATCTTCATTCTTTTTCTTGCTCGGAAATTGTAGCAGTGATTGCAACCATTGACGTTCTTAGTACCATCATGGTTATAGGTACAACGGCAAACGTTTCGACTTATCCCATCGGAATATTGGTCATATCTCTGGCAGCCTTGCTCCCACTCGCGCGTCTTTTCCTTGCGGTTGAGCTCTTGTTGGGCCCTTATGGAGTGAAGCAGGTCTTTCATCGGATCAGACTCCGCCACATATCGCACCCCAAATGACCCTTCGCCGACGCTCGAGAATATTGTTTTCTTCTTTTTTCTGCCGTGGTGACGCAGGTCCAGATGCTCCTGGATTCTGCGCAACCGGGCCATGTCCTCCAACGAGGAAACATGGAGAACGTCCAGAATATCTCCTGCAAAGGGGGGCTTGTAGTCTTGCAACAGCGGGCAGGACACAGAAGCAGCAGAGTCCATAACGGTCCAGAGATCAAAGACTGCTAGAAGTAGTTTGCTGTTTTGCTCCGGGCTCTCCTCTCTGGAAGATGACGCAATTTCTAGTAACTGGCTGAGAATTGAGCAGATGGAGATGACAGCTTCTTCGACTTGCCGAGGGTGCATGGTTTGGATAGCTGGAAGAAGCGATTTGGCCTTGCTATCAGCCTTGGCGATTTCTCGAGAAACGTCTAGGAAGTTTTGGACAAGCCCCCGCGTTTCCTGGGTGCCGGTTTGATAGCTGAGATCTCCCATCACGGTTTGAGGTCCATCGACATAGCTTGCAGCATGGTGTCGCGACCATGAAGCACAGAGGTCGGACAAGTATGATTCACTACTGGGAAGAGACAAGCGAAAGTCATGCGCATCAAGTGGAATGCGCAACGGCAAAAAGGGCACCCTTCGGGTCGTTGAGCGCTTGAAGGCAGAGACTTCGGAGTGGACATATCGGCTTGCCTCGTCAAGGTGTGCCTGGAATATGCCTGTTATTGTGGCCTCTCGGAGCAGATGGGCGACGTCAGAGCTGTGTTCATCTGCGAGTTTCTCCAGCTTGCCCAGTCTGCGGCACAGCTTCTTCTGAAGGAGGACAACATTGGAGGAGTCCATAGCAGTACCAGTGTAGTCGGACAAAAGCTGGCTCAGCACCGTGGCCATGAGAAGCTTGTAGGCGACGAGCCCCGGACCCTTGCCAAAGATCAGCTCCAGCTGGCGGTGAGAAGCAACGCGACACGCAAGCCAAAATGGCGAACGCCGCCAGGGGCTGCTTTCACCTCCCGGGCCAAAGTTGACATCGTCTCGCACGCGTTTGTCTATCGGACATACGTTCGCGGGCCCCCCAATCGCCATGAGGATCGAGAGCAACATGTGAGTGATCAGGGCTGGGCTACCACCGTTGCGTGACTCGGGAATGGTTCGTCCGGCTTTGGTGGCTGTTGCGGCAAGATGGACCAGTGACTCAGAGCTGGCCTTTTCAAGAAACGATGAGAGAGAAGACTGGAAAGACTTGTTGTCGAAGTCGTTCGCCGAGATTTGGACCGCCCGGGACGGAAACTGCCATCGAAGGGAATTCGGGGCAGCGAGAACATCCTCAGATGGTGGCTGCGCCTCGAAAGCTTCAAACACGACAACTTCATCGCCCCCGCTATTATCCAACGGGTTAGAATCAGGCATAAAATGGCTTACACGAGTTGATACATACCTCTCCTGACGATATATCAGAAGGCATGCGTTCTGCTCGGCGAGATAGCAGGTCAAGACAGGATGGGCTCCAGCCTCAAGAAGATGAAGAGAACGCTCCAGGGAGTATCTGTCGAGACTGTCACCACCGAGGCTCTGGCACATGTTCAAGCAAGAACGAAGGACACGCCATCCTCTCTGAAGGCCGTCTGAAGACGCGTCATGAAGGAAAGTGCATGCATCTTGCAGTCGATGAAGAAGAGCGTGCCCGATCGAAGCGGGGTCTTCGTCTCGGCTTTCCGGGAGCTTGGAAGGAAGGACCAGGTGGGTATAGACAGCTTCCAATGATGCCATACTAAATCACAAGAATAGGGTAGCATAGGTGTAATAGGAAGAAATAGCACAGACTTAGGTGGTTGATAGATAAAGGCGGAGGTGATGAGATACATGAAAGGGTGAACAATGGGAGAACAGTGGAAATGATTTCACGAAGCCTCTGGTTAAGAAGCAAGATTTGTGCCCAACACATACAAACTCCGATAACAAAAGGCGAGCCAATCGAAGGCGATTTGCCTACAGCCAACAAGCCTATAACTGTGCGAATTGTTGTCGTTGGTGGTGTTTGAAAACATGATGCAGGTAGAACGCGGCTAACGGCGGCAGGCTTAGATGGTGCCGTTCGGTTATGTTGAGTCACAACAAGTACAGGTTTGTCAAGCTACAGGGAAGATCCAAAAAAGAAAAAGGCATCGGGATATTAATCACTTTAGGTTACACATGACTGTGCCGGTTGAATGTAATAGGGACGCAGGACGGTATGTGTAGTTGGCAGAATTAGAAATGAAGTAAAAGGCAGAGGCATGACTTAGTACTGTAGTTCCCGAGCGATAACCCTCTAAGAGCCACGTGAGCCCCTTTCAGGGATAAACAGAATACTATTGATGCGAGTTACCTTACTGCCTTCCTGCTATGCCATACGGATAGATATGTAGCTTTCCTCCTAAGAATAACAACTAGTGGGCATGTAATCTGTACAAATCAGTGCACTTGTAGGATCCAATGGCAGGCAAAGGAGAGCCAACGTCGTGATGGCTAGCTATTTAGTCATGGAGATGGAGACTAATGTAGAGAGAGATCTGATTGTCATATTAATACGACCAGATATGTGTGTCAAACATGAGTCTATTTCAGTCGCTGATAAACCGAAAACAGAAGTCCCCCACATAGAGTACTCATACTAATAGTATCATCATATATTACCGACAATTACCTGAGTGGATAATGCGCTGCCGCTTCCCATACGGGGTTGTCACGATGACGGGCGCTATCTTGTCGTGGCTAACCATCTAGCGCCTCAGGTGATCCCTTTAGCAACGGCATACCGCACGTTTGCTATTGGTGACTGGTCTTTTTCTGCTCTCCTTCTTCTTCTTCTTCCAAGGTCATACGCGGCTCTCACTGACACCATTGACCATGATCTGAATGCCAAACGGCAGCTGCGACCGTGGAGACCGCGCTAGCCCAAAGGCCAAAGGCTAAAGCACGTCTTACAGGCCTCCAGAGCGGGTTACAGAGGGGCTACAGCCTACAGAGCCGCAGAGCTCCACTAGGGAGCTCAAGAGCCCTACAGCCTATTACAGGTACGACTACAAGCAACTAAGGTGTCAAGGCAAGTGCTGCCGGGTGGCAGTCGGGTATTACCTTCCTTGTATCCATAGAATACTGTCGCTTCCTCCTTCCCATAATATCTCCCAACTCATTCCCAGATCCACTGTAAATTATCCGTAACACTCCTCCATCTCCATCATCATCACCGCCCATTAACCTCGCCAGTTTCTGCACCAACGAAACCTTTATGGCGTGCATTTCACTTCTCGACTTCCTGTCTGCCTTTGACGGCACTATGCTATGACACTTTCTCTTCTTTTCTGGTAATGTTGCATATACCGTGATACCCGCTTTCATCGTACAAATTCTGCCCTTTTTCCGTCCGTCTGCTGTCTGCTGCTACTCTTTTCCCCACCTCGCCTCTTTCGTCGTGCCTTGCCGAATTGCCGTCGCACAAGAAATCACCGCCACACCACATTCACTGGCGTCTCTTCTTTGCTTTTCGACCTGTTATATCCCGACGAAAGTCGAGAAGAAAAATGAGCGGAAGTCCTTCCCATGGACGCTCTGGGTCTGGCGACCACCGTCCCGCCCAACCCAGCGCTCTTCGCCAGAGTCACGTTCCCAGCAGCTCCTCGTCGGCTCAGAGTGTCGGCTCGAGACAAGACCGGAGCCCCGGCCCTGCCACCGAGTCCACGCCACTGTTCATGCCGATGCCTGCGGGCGGTGCGGTGGCCATACATGCAGGAGCTTGCTCCCACGGCACCTTTAGTCCTAGGGCTGAGATACCAGAGGGACCTTCGCCGTGGGGTAACGACGATGACGACGACGACGACGACGACGACGACGATGAGTCCTCATCCAATGCGGACGCGGGAACCATGATACCTGCCCTTGACAATGCCATCTCGCACCTCGTGGGAAATGATGACTGGAAGAGGCGACTCGGCCGGGCCATACGGACCAAGAAGATGGGCCAGAGTAACGAGTTGGCCGAGCAGGCTGGGATCCGCAACGTTAGCTTCCTGTATCTGTCATACTACATCCCCTGCCTCACGTGGATCAAGCAGTACAAGCTGTCCTATCTGCAGGGTGATCTGATTGCCGCCCTCACCATGGCTTCGTTCTACCTTCCTATGGCCCTCTCGTATGCCTCCAACCTTGCTCATGTCCCGCCCATCCACGGACTCTACGGTTTCGTCATCAACCCCTTCATCTACGCTGTCTTTGGCTCCTGCTCTCAGCTCGTCGTAGGCCCTGAGGCTGCCGGTTCTCTCCTCGTCGGCGCCGCCGTCAAGTCTACGGTTGACGCCGGCGAGGACGGCGAGAACGATGTTTTGGCCAACGCGCGTGTCTGCGGTGTCATCACGGGCATGGCCGGGGCCATGGTGCTCATTGCCGGAATCGTCAGGCTCGGCTTCCTCGACAGTGTCCTGAGCAGGCCGTTCTTGCGTGGCTTCATCAGCGCTATCGGCTTCGTCATCGCCGTTGACCAGCTCATCCCCGAGCTGGGCTTGGCCGATCTGGCACTTGAGGCGGGCGTCAGCCACGGCAGCAGCGCCGACAAGATTGCCTTTTTGGTGCACAATGCCAGCAGAGTGCACAAGCCTACTTTCATCATTGCTGCCACCAGCTTTATTGTCATCATGGTCTTCCGGTATGTTTCATCCGCCATGTATTGTGCATTTGGCATGCTCAATAGCATTTCCATTGCCGTGCCCGATGGCATGCTGACCGCTCCTCTGTCTATAGCGAACTCAAGAAGCGACTCCAGCCCCGCTTCCCATCCATCGTCTTTATGCCCGACCGCTTCCTCGTCGTCCTCATGTCCGTCATCCTCTGCGCGCACTACCGGTGGGACAAACTCGACGTTGAGATCCTGGGTACCGTCAAGGCTGCCACTGGACAGATATTCAAATTCCGTTTCCCCTTTGAGGCCTCGCAGATGAAGCACATCCGCAGCGGCATGTCGACGTCGTTCCTCATCGCACTTCTCGGCTTCTTCGAGTCGTCGGTCGCTGCCAAGAGCATCCCGGGGAACGGCGCCATCCAAGGCATGCAGCTGAGTGCCAACCGCGAGCTTATTGCTCTGGGAGTGGCCAATTTCGTCGGCGGAAGCTTCCTCAGTATCCCTGCATTTGGTGGCTACGGGAGGAGCAAGGTCAATATACAGACTGGTGGCAAGACGCCCATGAGCTCAGTGTTCCTGAGTCTCTTCTCACTTCTCTGCGTCTTGTTTCTTCTCCCCTACTTTTACTACCTGCCTGTGCGTTATTCTGCTTTCTCTTCGACCCCCTCCCTCCCTCCCTCCCTTCCTATTACCCCAGTTCCTCCACTCCATCCGCGTCTACAGTTCAGATGACTAACGCAGATGATGGCTATAGAAACCCGTCCTGTCATCCATGATTTCAGTCGTGGCCATTTCACTCATGGAAGAGGCGCCGCATGACATCTCCTTCTTCTGGAAGATTCGCGGGTGGAACGAGCTAGGCCTCATGATGCTCATCTTCATGTCGACCATCTTCTACTCACTGACCATGGGCATGGCTCTGGGTGTGGGCGTATCCCTGCTGATGGTGATTCGGCACAGCACGCGTCCGCGCATTCAGATCCTGGGACGTATTCCGGGCACCAGCCGGTTTGAGAATGCCGAGACGAGCGAAGCATCGCGTCTCGAGTTCATCGAGGGTTGCCTGATTGTCAAGATTCCCGAGCCCCTGACGTTTGCCAACACAGGCGAGCTCAAGGCACGACTGCGACGCCTCGAGATGTACGGTACACCCGCGGCACATCCCGCTCTCCCCCGTCTACGCAGCTCCGATGCGAACCGCAACGTCATCTTTGACATCCACGGCGTCACGTCGATTGACGGATCAGGAATGCAGGTTCTGGCGGAGATCGTAGCCGACTACCATGACCGGGGCGTGCGCGTCTTCTTCTCCAGGGGCCCCTCGCCTCACAGCAGAAACTCGGTTTGGCGACTCATGGAGAGCAGTGGCGTCGTGGAGATGTGCGGGGGAGCGCACCATTTTGTAAATGATGTACAGGAGGCTCTTCGCCTGACGGAGTATGAGGAGAGTATGTCTGATGTGAGGTAGTTCTTCCCCCCTCTCTTCTCCCCTCCCTGGTTTCCTCTTACGCTTTGCTATTTTCTCGTATGGCATTCTGATTGGACGCATGATTATTTGATATCCTGAACATATAAAATCTGAACACAACCCGGATTTACGGATCCTGATTTGCAAGCATACTTGTGATGGCTAGCTCGTTGGTGGCTCCCCCCCCCCCCCCCCCCCCCGGACCTAAATACCCTTCTCTCTTTCTGTTTCTGTGTGTATGTTCTATTTTTTTTTTTTTTTAAATTCTTTCCGTGATACAAGCTTCTTGTGGTCCCATTGATTCGAAGTCTGATCGGTCTAGTTTATGTGGCCCAGCTTCGATGTTCTCCCTCGTGACAGACATTCGAGATTCAGTCATACGTCGAGAAGACAGATGGACGGGAAAAGGATGGCGGTCGGATAAAGGGTTTAAGGATAACGGCATGTCGTCATCCTGCATATGTATTGGCCGGTTGGGCATGAGGGCCATGATAGGGCCAGGATGGGAATTTGTGGGTGTGGATGAGGGAAAGGAAATTGCCGGTTTTTTTTGTGGATGGGCGGGCATCGGGAAGTTGGAGAATCACAAGTTGCTATTCTGACGTCACCCTGTCAATGAACAGTTGGGCATGGAAGGGAAGGCGCAAAGCAGAGCAGCAGTTTCCTTTGATGGAACATCATTAGTCATAGTTCTCTCTTCAATTCTCCGAGTATAATTTTTCTGCTTTCCAACAACCGAATCCCTTGACTGTCCCTCTTGTCATTGCACATGCCACCACCAGCAAGGCCTCACTCAGGTGCTGTCGCCACTCCTCTCGCACGGTTACGACTGCAACAACGGCGATAGCAACAGTCGTCTGGCCTGGACTCCATACTCACGGTGGGACTGAGCGCCAAGAACTACCAACAGGTATTAGCCCGTCAGCCGGCCACGCACCCGCACTCTTAAACCACGGTCGGCAGGCCTCTGAACCCTTGCTCTACCTCCAGCTGCATTTTCCTGGCTTTGCATACGCGCACGCGGATAAAAGGCCACACGCCGCCATTCTCCGGTAACGAGCCACTTTCCGTCCCTCTTCAATCTCCCGAGCCAAGGCACGCAGAAACATAGGACGGAGGACGAGACGCACGCAGGCCATTCGACTGCCGATCAAACGCCTTGTCATGTATCTCACGGTGTCACGTTTACCATTGCGCCCAACACCACGTCGATTGGGTAACTGGAACGATTACGGGCATTGACGTACCGAGACGTCTCTTGGTCAGCGTAGCGCAACGGCTGCAGGGCAGAGAGAAGAGTAAATTCGGACAGTGGAGGAAACAACAAAAAGCCAGGAGGAAGGGACGAAAGAGAGAGAAGAAGAAGAGACGAAAGAGAGAGGAGAAGAAGAAGAAGAAGAAGAAGAAAGGACGACATGCAGATGGACACACTTCCCCCGGCCGTCATCGATCGACTCTGTGATGCCATAGCTGATGTCTCGGGCGGTGACCTGACGCAGTACGCCAGCGTCTCGCGGTCCTGGCAGCGTGTAATCGAGCGTCGCACGTTCCACAGCTTGTATCTGTCATCTGCCCGTCTGGATGACCTCCCCAGCGTGGTGACCGGTCCTAGAATAGGCTACGTGCGCGTCATCACTCTACACGTCGCCTTGGCATCGTATCACCGACGACAGCGCAACGACATGGAGTCGGCGGAGGATGGCAGCCGGTCCACGCACGTCTTCGACAGTTCCATTCAAGATCTGTTCGGTACGCTCGCCCAGTGGGAGGACGACGTCACATCCGAGGGCATCCACCTCGAGATCCTAGTCGAGTCACCGAGCGACGACATGTCCGGGACATCCCACACCCACGCCCGCCGGAGAAGCCGCAGCCCTACGACGACGAGACGGGCCAGGTCGTCGGTCACCCGGCTTGACCTGCCCCGCAGTGCGTTGCCGCGTGCCTCGGTCATCAGTGCTCTGACTTGCTCGGGGAGACACATTGAGCTGTCGTCGGTGCTGTTCCTCATCTCCAAGATGCCGAGGCTGCAGCTCCTGGACACGGAGATTGAGCACGACACAGCTGGCGAGAGGGACCTGGCGCAGAGAAGAGGTGAGTATCATTTCTCGGTCTACGGTCCTTGAATAGGTCACTCTTTCTCACGAAGCAACTGCGCACAGACTTCATCCTCGGCCTCCAGCACTGCGCACCCAACATTACCGAGTTTCGCCTCCGTCGTCCCATGAGCACATTCGACTCGCCCAGATCATCGTCCAAGTGGGCCCGTTCACTCTTCTACAGCTCCCTCCTCGAATATACCCAGCAATGCATAACGTTGAAGTTTGACGACAGCATCGACGCCCGCAGCCTGCTGGCCTACTTCCGCGATGACGAGTCCGGACGGCGACGGTATAACGACCGGAGCGCCGGCGCTGGCGGGGCAGGATCGTCGAGCGCGGGACCGTGGTGGCCGCGTCTCGAGCGGCTCCAGGTGCGCAACTCATACATGATGCGCAGGCCCTACACGCGGGTGCGAACCCATGCCAGCGCCATCAAACATGTGCACGACGTGGTGCTATTCGTCGGTCGCGCCCTCCGGTGCATGCCGGCTGCCAAGTCGATCCGCATCAGGCAGTACATCCTCGCCGAGGGCAACCTGGAGCACGCCGTGGTCAAGTACGATATAGACGACGCTGGTCGGCCGGTCGTCGTGTTTCAGGGTCTGCAACCGCCGCAGAAGACGGTCGACGCGTGGACAGCGAGTGTTCTGGAGACGAGGGGTGTTGATCTAAACGTTCGCATCCTTGCCAATGCCGAGGGTCTCGCCAACCGACCAGATCAGAGGTTCTAGATTAGGTATGCACTCATCTCCCCCATCTCTTCTTCTTTCGGGGAGAGGATTCTCCTCGTTCTCGTTCTCGGACACCTGCTGCATCGTTCTTTCGTGACATCTGGTGTTGTTCGCTGTCGCAAAAAAAAAAAAAAAAAAAAAAAAAAAAAAAAATCTCCTGTCTTGTTCTATCACATGTACGATATTACTAGCAGTACTACTACATCGCTCGCCTACTATCCACATGTAACACTGTACCGAATACATCTGCTTGTCTTGTTCTATGACTACTCGTGCAGTGAAGAACGACAACATGTAAGTAGGAGATGAAATAAGAGGAATAACCCGGGATTACCATGACGATGCATCTACGCGCGACATGAAGACCTTCCGGGTCCCGAGACCGAGACCATCGACAGATTACAGACATCGTACTCGTAGAGCGGAGAAACGGCGGCCGAGACCAGGAAGTTGGGTTGGAGGGAGTCATGGAATATTCGGCAGATGACAGGGTTAGAGTCAGATGGATAATAATAGCAGGAGTTATTGCGTCCATAGACGACTACGGCATGGGTAGTAGTACTAATAGAAAGAACGAACCCCCCCCCCAGGTGAAGATTGTCATCATCTGCCCCTTTGCCCTTTGGATTTTGGAGGGGGGGAGGTTGGTTCTCTGCCCTTGTCGGTCGGTGCTTGGCACCTGTACGAGTAAAGATACGAAGCTCAGGGAGTAATGAATGGTCCCCCCCCCCCCTTTTTTTCCTTGCTTTTCCTTGTACTTGCAGTAATCCCCATGATACCCATGTTAACCGAGGATATCATACAGATTATGCTTGTCGACGGCGCACGTTGAGGAGAATAAGAGGGTGTGTGTGCTCGATGACCCTGGTCGATAGGTTCGCTCTATATCAGCATTCGCCCTCGGCCATCCCTGCTCACGAGGAGGTTGAACAGGGGAGAGGGTTTATTGGATTATATATCAACAATACGACCTCTGCATACCGGGGTCGAGTACTTTGATGCCATGTGGACGTCAAGAACGGCTTATGCTATGATACTATAGATACTATATACTCGGTAATCCGTACATCTATCCAGACGCGGATCCCTCTCCCGCCCTCTCATGCCAACAGCGGACATCGTCACCAGACGGCGGCAAGACGTAATGACTCGGCAGGCCATGCAGGCAATGCAGTAGCCCCGATGGACCGTCCCACACGCATGCCAACCCTGGATGGGGGCGTACAGATATTATCAACCGCTGTCACCGGGAGTTTTTCTTCTCTCTCCTTCTTCTTCTTCTTTTGACATGTGGTCCGTGCGGGTACGACACAATGCTGCTCTCCTCCATCTCATCCTGTCTCTTCCTATCGGAGCTCATCCTCCTGAGGGGAGGAGGGGATCATGACCCTTGTATCCTTTTGTACGCCCGGATCAACGACGGGGGTTTGTGGGATGAGTAGCTCGTACATGTATGTAATCTGCACTCGGTACGCCATACATGTATATCACCCCATAGAACTACAGGTACGAGCGCAGTCATGAGTGCATGATTCGGAATGTTGGGGGTGGTAAGATGCCCGTGGTCGTCATCCGCGCCCCCCTTGGTCTGTGCATAATGATGAGACGGTGGCCAATGAGAATGAAGGGTCTGATGAACATGACCTACGGATACGGAGTAACGAGTACTACGATGCCACTCAAACTTCCATAGAGTCGTCATTATCGATACTTTTTCACGATACTTGAGGGGGGGGGAGTGTACATCTCGTGTGCAGTTTGGGGGAAGGGCGGATGATCGACTTGCAGGGATGGGACGGGGGCGCATGGACGGCGACTATATTTTGCATATGTATTCTGTACCGGTAACCAGTTCACGATTAATTACGGAGTACAGCATCTTGAATTTCAACATAGCAGGGTATAATACGGAGTGATATATGGGATACCTCCTACCAGAGGTCAGATACGAGACGGGCAGGGAGAATGGGATGGAAGCCTTGGTCAGGCTGGGACGTATTGAACCGTAGCAGATATAATATCGTGCATCTAGATATATCTCGAAACTACTCCATACCAAGCCCCCGAGTTTCAGAACGCACACATGACAAGCAAGGAAAAAGAAAACTCCCAAAAAAGAAAAGGTAGGCTTGAGGAATGTGTCAAACTCCCCCCCCCCCCCCCCCCCCCCCCAAGTACCCAAGACATCGACTATGGGAACACCACCACCACAACGGATGGATAGGAACGTACTCTTACTGTGTAGTTGTGCAATGCAGAGGAGAATTCATGTATTAATATACGAAGCCATTAACATTACTGGCTGTATGCATGCCCAAAGATAAACAACCCCCTTTGTTTTCTGTTTTTTTTTTTTCGTTTTTTTTTTTCCCTTCAGGTGGCTACCCAACCAAGCTATCCATGTCTTACCAACGACCATTTATATATATAATATAGCGAGACAAGAGAAGAAAATGACCAGAGAAAGATGGCTGACAACCAAAACCCATAGCCGCCCTCTATGAAGAGAATCCTGGAAATCGCAATTATTAGAGATGAGATAAGAGGTTCATATATATATCCTTGACCAGAAACCAACAAGCAAACAAACCAAACAGAATAAGATGAAATAGGAAGACGCCAAACGATAAGATAAGTCTTGCCTCCCTCCCAGAAAAAAAAAAGAAGAGAGAAATTTCATAAAACATGCAGAGAAAAGAGAAAAACGCATGAATGTTGAAAAAAAAAAGAAGGAAAAAAGAGGTCGAGAAAATCCCATGAATATGGAGGGATATAAAAGGGAGGGGGGGTATATAATGATACTCGTTAAGAAGAATGGGGAAAAGGGAAAAGGAAAAGAAAAGAAAAAAAAAGTCTCTCCAAGTGTATACTTGCGAAAACTGCCCAATGTTGGTTGGAATGGGTTGTCGACATTGATGGTATGAATCGTGGTGTTGCAATGAGACAAGATGATGCGGTGGAGATTATGCAGTTGGCAAAAAAGAAAAAGAAAAAGGAAATAAAAAAGGGAAAAAAAGGAAACCACACAACTTATTTCCTCGACAGTTGATGGGAATCAACTCACTCCCTTCAAGTATGGAGAAGAAAAGGGGGGGGGGGGAACCATCCTTGACCCTGACGAAATGGAGAGTGCTCACGCTCCATGTCCGTCCATCATCCTCTCCCCCCTCCCGCCAGGTTTGAAGGTGGTCTGGTTCGTGAGATGATTGGTTTTAGGAATCAACACCTGACCCCTTCTCTTCTCGCACACGATCAAATCTCTCCAACTGCTTTTGCTTTTTTTCCTTGAAATCCGAGTTTCCCTCCCCCTCCTTCCCTTCCCTTCCCTTCCCTCCCCTGACGCTCCGAACAAGTACTTTCACGCCCTGGGTGTTCCATCGGCATAGGTCGGTGGGGCCGTACTGTAGATTGGTGGAGGAGGGGCATGTGAGTGTTGCTGCTGCTGCTGCTGCTGCTGCTGCTGCTGCTGCTGCGAGGCGAGGCTGGGGTACGGATCTGCGTAGTTTGCCGGCGCGGCATCCCATCGAGGTGGTGTGGCGGCCGCGGTCGGGTGGTGGGTCAGGGGGGTACCGTATCCCCCGGCAGATACGGTCCTGGTGTCGTAGGACGACACGGCCGGCAGGGGAGTGCTGGTGTTGATGCGCATCGAGGGGGGAGGGGGTGCAGGGCTCGGCTGACGCATGCCGGGGCTCATGGTCCTGGGTCCAGGAGGGGGGGCGCCGCCCCCGTAACCGGCCGCGGCACCGTACGGCCCCCACGACGGCTGGGGAGCCGACAGGGATCGGGGGGACGGCATGGCGCCTGCGTCGTGGTGGCTGGGGGCGGCCATGGAGTACTGGCCCCCCGGGTGGTGGTGCTGGTGCTGGTGCTGGTGCTGGTGCTGGTGATGGTGGTCGTGCGACGACATGGCGTGCTGGCCGGGGGGCGTGGGCAGAGCCGCGGCGTAGGGAGAAGGGCCCGGGGCGGCCATGGTCTGGGGAGGGGGTGGGCCGCTGGCGGCGGCAGGGTTGGCGCTGTACTTTCCAATGATCTTCTTGAGGGCCGACTCGAGTATCTTCCAGGGGAACACCTTGACGTCCTTCTCGATGTTGCGAGGCTTGGGGTTGGGGAAGGACATGATCAGCTTGAAGAACTCCTCGCTCTCGGCCTTGCCCTTGGACACGGTCAGCGGGTGGAAGCCCTCGAGGTTGCGGCGGATGCGGTTCTTCTCCTCGACGCTGAACCGCGTGGGTCCCATGACCAGCTGCTCCAGCAGCGAGATGGTGTCGACCGACGTCACGAAGCACGCCCCCTTCTCGGCCCACCAGATGCACGAGATGCAGATGCTGTTGGGCGGCCGCTCGTTGACGGGCACCGGCCGGAAGCTGGCGCTGAGCGTCGACCCGGACTGGGACCGCCGGAACATGACGATCCGTCGTCGGTTGCTCCACTCCACCTGCGTCCAGTTCTCGGCCATGGTGTCGAGCTTGCCGTTGATCTTGAGGATCGCCTTGTTGGAGTAGAGCGAGACCTGGCTGTAAGGGGTGGCCCCGCCCGGGTTGGTGATGGTGCTCGTCCGCACCAGCTGGGGGGCCCCCGACGAGCCGCCGGTCGACGTCGACGAAGACGGCATCGGGAGCGGCGTCAGGCTCGACCGGTGGCCCGACATGGCGTGGTGGTCGAGCGAGTGCGCCCTCATGCCCGTGCTGCCCAGGGTGCCGCCGGGAAAGCCTGCCCACGCGTGGGCCGAGGGGCGGTGGTACGGAGGCTCCACGAAGCTCGAGCTCCTGTAGGTGCTGATCATGTCGCTCGGGCCCGGCGCGAAAGGTCCGGGCGCGTACTGGCCCTGCTGCGAAGGGTCTTCGTAGCTATTTGTACCCGCGTCTCCGGGCATGGGAGCAGCGGCTTGGTGTGCCGTGACCGGGGTCTGTTCTGACCTGGGGGACACGCTCCCGTGATCACCTCCGGCAGGTGGTTGCTGGGCCGGGCCACTTCCCATCTCGTGCTTGATCATCTTGTCGGATCGCGTGATGTCGTCCTCGGCAGATACCCCCGCACCGCCACCGCCGCTACCGCCGCTACCGCCACCGCCGCCGCCGCCGCCGCCGCCGCCATCCATGTACTGAAAGGACCCGGCCACGCTCCTCGACAGCTCCTCACCCGCGGGTCCCTCGATGACGAGTGACAGCGGCACGTTGGTCGCATCGCCGCAGCCGGTGACCATGGCTTGGGGTGCGTCGGCCGTGCCCGAGTAGACGAAGCTGCCGCTGCCGTCCTGGCTGCTCTCCCGAGTCACGTCCTGGAGCGGGACCTTTTCCGATCCGAACTGCAGCGAGAAGTAGGGCGCCGTCGAGATGCCGAACAGGTCGTACTGGGCCGACATCTTGATGAATACCTTTGTGCCGAACATGCCCGAGCTGGGTTGGCAAGACACCACGGTCGGTCCCGCCGGCATGTAGGCGCTCACCGAGCTGCCCACGCCATTGTTGGATCCGAAGGCCTGCTGGTTGAGCTGGGCGAACTTGTCCGTCTGCTGATGTGTCGGGAAGGGCTGCGTCGTGTACTGATCGTATGCGGGTTGGGGGTATCTTGAAGGGTCGAAGCCTGTGACATGTCTGTGTAAGCCATTGATCTTTCTCTTTTTTTTGTTCTTTTTTTTTTCCGTCTTGTCGGTGCTGTCCTTCTTCCCCTTCTCTGTTCTTCTTCTTCCTTCTTTCTTCTCGCCCTAGCTGCTTCTCCGTCATGTTCTGCCTGACCGTCCTCTCTTCTCCCTTGCCCTTCTTCTCTGCTCCAGAAGGCAAGGTTCCCCCATGTCAACCCGGACGGTTTTCTTACCATTCATGGACGGCAGAGGAGCCGCCTTTCCGTACGCAGCCATGTCGAAGATTCTAGGGGGTGAGTCGCCCAAAGAGTCCCCTCTGTCTGCTGCTCGGGCAGCTTCTTCGTACTGTGATGCGAGCGTCTCTGGAGATTCGATGCGGTCGTCCAAGCCGACAATTATCGGCCTCTCTGTATGAAAGGTAGGCTGTGTATGAGGAGGGGAGGGATGGAGTTGCTTCCGAGTCAGTCTCTTGTGTGTTTTGTCTCCTTTGACTCGTCGAGGTCAAGTGCCGAAACAGTGGCAGATAGCTATCGAGGTGTTGCAGTGATGTGGGAATCGAGCATCGACAGGTTTGACAGGGAGGGGGGTTTTGAGTGCTTGATGTCTAGAGAGCCCCGAGGGTAGAGGAAGCTCAAACCTCCACGTTTCTTGTTCTGACTCGTGTTTCTCTCGAGTGAGGACTCTCTCTCGCTCTCCAAAGTCAAAAGGGTAGGAAGTGTCGAGTTTTGGAGACGGGATTTGTGGGTGATGTGGGAGGAAAGGAGTCAGATGTTCTCGGTAGTCGAGAATGGAGAGGAAAGGAAGGGAAGGGAGCGGGAGGGTGGAAGAGGAAGGAAGGGAAGCACGACGGATGTTGTATAAACTTGGCAGGAAAATGGAACAGGGTGTCGGTGTTTTGTCTAGGGGCCAGAAGAGGGAAGTCGACTCACCTCGAATAGTCTGTAGGGAGGAGACTGGAACTTGACGGCAGACATCCAAGCTTCTTTTGGGCTGCGAGGGTCGGACGGAAGAGGGAAGACGGAGAGGTTGCTCGGCCTCGTCCTCTCTTGACAGGAGGTGGAAACAGACCAAGGTTAAGAGAATGCAAAACCAGTGTCTGGGACAAGGGCTCCAGGTGTTCAGGAAGAAGAAGGAGAAGAAGAAGAAGAAGAAGAGATCCGATTCTGGGAGGTGTGTACTTGTGCGTCTGCGTGAAGAGAAGAAGAGAGAGGTGAGTCGTAGGTGGATTTGTGTCTCGTCTGGATAAGCCCCCCCTTCCCTTTCTGCTTCCCCTTTCTCCTCCGGTCCCAAGGGAGAATTCCAGAGTGCAGGTTCAGACTTGGGGCGCCTCGGAAATTGGATATAAACAGACAAGGCGGGCTAATGTAGGTGAGAAGCTGTCGTCAGGTCGTTAGTCCGGCATACAGAGAAGACATACAGACATACAGACGCACGCCACTTTTGTTTTTTTTTTCCTTCCTTCCTGTGGTATTCCCCCTCTGATATCACCAGCCTCTCTCTCTCTCTCTCTCTCTCTCTCTGTCTGTCTCTCTCTCTCTCTCTCTCTTGTGAGCTTTTTTTTTTTAGTCTGAGACAGAAGCTGCCTCTTTTCTGTCTTTTTTTCTTTTTCCCGTCCCGAGATAGATGGCGGGGAGGGGGAGGGGTGATGGGGTGTGTAAGTATGTGTATACGTGTTTGTTCCAAGAAGGGAGATGGGGATCTTTGTGTGTCGCTTGCTGGAGATATGTGTCAAGGAGGGGAGGGGGGGAGGAGAAGAGTCTCTCTTCCAGAGATGGCATGCGGGAAGTTTCAGAAGCTCGAGGCAAAGGAGAGAGAGAGACACGCTCACGGACACATAGACACGACAACTCTACATTCCAGCACGGTGTGAATCGTTATAGCAACACGGCAGGCTATCAGTCCCGAGTAAGCTGCTGTCTCAGTCCCGAGGAAGCTGCTGTCCGAGGCGGGTCGGCGTCGCTTCTCCACAAAGGGAGGGGCACCTCCAAGATGTCAAGGGAGAGACAGAGAGGAGGAGTGCGGTGGTAGTGGCAGCATGGAGAGCGAGGTGTGTATATGTATGGGTGGGTGGGTGTGTGGGTGTCTAGGAAGGAAATTTGTCGTTCCTATACAGGTAGGACATGTCTTTCCGGTAAGGAAGGACGACGGGGATGAAGGAAGGGAGAGCAGAGAGGGAGGGAGTGGGTGGGTGATGGGAGATGGCGAGTAGTGATGATGATGGCAGGATAACGAACAGGCATCACACTCGTGCTTTCTTCCTCTCTCTTTTTAGCTAGACTCCATTTCCCAACTCGGGTACAAGAGTCAAGGAGAGATGGATATACACACGCAGAGGCAGAGGCAGAGGGAGGCAGAGGGAGGCAGAGGGATGGAGAGAGAGAGAGAGAGAGAGAGAGAGAGAGAGAGAGAAAGGCTGAACATGTCCACCCAAGTTTCGCGATCAGACTCACCTATATGCAAGGTTGCAGGCAATGACGGCTTTCAAGTCTGCCAACTTTTGAGAATAAAGACTTTCATCAAAGTTTATTCTCCTCTTCCCCTTGCT